AGCTATGGAGAACATAAGGCCAAGCCCCCTGCCTGTGCCGGGTCCAGATAGAAACCTGTGTTGTTGCAGGCTAGTGAAACTGATGAGCCATGCCGCTCCATGAACCGGCCATTCCGCTTCCAGACCTGGAGCCAGCCGCTCTATTGGGCGGGCACTTTGGAACAGAGGGGCTAGGCCACTTTTTTGAAGGAGGGGGGGGGGGGTGCTCAGCGGCATGTGGCTTTGGAACACTTTGGAATGGAATTTGGCACAGAGCGACAGGGGGCTGAGCACTTTGGAAGGGAAGTGCAGGCGGGACTAAATGAAACCTTAAAGAGAGACAGAAGTTGGGGCGGGACAAAAGAGCAGTAGGTAAATGAAAACAGGGAAGTGGAGGTGGGACAAAGTGCCAGTGAACAAAGAAAGAACAATGGAAGAGGAGGTAAAGAAACGGGAGCACCATACTTTAAAAACTCGGACTTTGGAGTGTAATCAAAGGACATAGTCAACAAGACAAAATGGCAGCCTACAGAATGTGGAAATATTTAACTTTTTCTATGATTTGAGCTTGTTCTATCAGTCTTTCTTCCTCATCACTTCTGAAGTATTGCCTGGGACCTTTCCCTTACCACACTCAGTGGTTTGCTTTGAGCCCTTATTCTATCCTACTGCAAATTTGACATAGATGAACACTTTTTGAATTTTATGTATGTGTCTGTTTTTTGCCTTGCCTGCCTTTATGTCTGTGCAGTGCATACATGCCTGGTGCCTGTTTAGACCAAAAGGAAGGCGTTGGATTCTTTGGAACTGGATTTAGAGGTAGCTGTTATGTGGGTGCTAAGAATTGAAACCAGGTCTTTTGGAAGAAAAACTGGTGCTCTTAACCAGAGTCATCTTCTTAGCCTCCCCTCCCCCCAAATAATTATTTTTAAAAGTTACTTATATAATCAAACAGAGCATTGTCTGTTCCTTGGGGCACCATCCATGTATCCCACCTTGTTATGTTCTTGCTGTGTGAACTCCAGTCCTAACTTGTAGACGGTATTTTCTAGATTTTTTTTCTGACTTTCCCACCTGGATATTCTTTCTTCAGTAATTTAATTTGCCTTAAACTTTGTAGAAATTGAGCTGCACTAATTTAATCTTTTGTGGCTTTAATCTTTTTTGTCCAGTATTATTTGCAATTAATTCTAGGTGTTTTACTATTTTGTTATCTTGATAGCCCACAGTATTCATTTATGCACGTGTCACAATTTATTCATCTGACTTTTGAAAGGTTTTTAGGCTATTTAGTATTTTCAGCCACCACAGAATTTGAGTACTTTCATGCATGTGTGTGTTTTGGAAATATTACAGGCAGAAAATGTGGACCTAGAAATATGTCCAGTTTACCCTTTTTCTAACAGAGTAGGACAGTTCCTGTTGCCCTGTGTTCTCTTCCTTTGGTATTACTGGACACTTGTGTGACATAAAATGCTATGTTTCAATTGAGTGTCACATGATCATTTTCTCTGGGTTCTTCTAGCCCTAGTGCCAGCTTCTGATTTCTCTGTTTGTTCTTTGTGTTTCTGAACTCTGAATACTAAAAATGTTCTTAATCCTAAGCCTTTTGTTTTTATTTATACTGATTCATTTAGCCTTTGTCTTGAAATTTCTTATTTTTACCAAAAAGAAGGCCCTAAATTTATACATTTCCATTTGGTACTTGTTGTCCAGTCCCCAGTGCCTCTTCATTTATCACATAAATGTCTAGTTGAATAGCACCTTAGACCTTAGATTTTTAAATTCTAAACTTTAAAAAAATTATTTTTATTTCATGTACATGAGTTTCCGCATGAATGTCTGTGCACCATGAGTGTGCCTGGTGCCTGATGAGGTTCAAAGAGGGCATCAGATATCCGGAAACTGGAGTTACAGATGGTTGTGAGCTGCCCATGTAGTTGCTGGGAATCAAATCCAGCAAGGTCCTCTGAAAGGGCAGCCATTATTCTTAAGCTGCTCACCCATTGCTTCAACCCCTAAAATATAAACTGTTCTCCTCTGAGTCTGCTTTTATTTTTCCCAGGCACCGGACATTTCCTATCTGTATTTAGGCCAAAATCTGATGACTCAGTATTGAATCATCTTATTGGTTTCTGAGAACTTCTTATAGTACCCACTACTTTTATAGGTGGTCAGGGTCTTGCCTGAATATTTTGAAGTTCTTGATGTCTGATCCATTGGAGGTAAGGATTCACAGTCTAGCAGAAGGAGCAAGATAACTTAATTTGGAATAAAGCAGCAGTGCTGATTTGAGGGATACACTGTCAAAACTGACACAAGAACCCCAGTTATTGTTTGGAACTTCTTTTTATGAGGTCAAGGAAAGAGTTTCTTATAAATGTGTGTAGTACTGTATTTTCTTTGATAGATTAGGTCATGCTTTTTTTTCCTACTGTGTATTTCTCTTCCCATAATGAATCTGCGTTTAATCATATGCACACCTACTTAGGTATAGCATAAGATTGCAATGGGGGTGATTCTCCCTAAAAGTTTACCAGAAAACAAGAAGACACAATTTTATCTTACTTGGCACCCAAACCTGTTCAGGCTAAATATTCCCTTCTTTTGTTTATACTTGTACATATTGGGAATAGATTTGCGTAGAATTTGTCTAAATTTGGTTGCTACTAGGGGTCAAGAATTGTTGAGGGAGCTGCGGGCCTCTTCCCACAGCCCGGCTCCCGGCCGCCTGGCTAACTTATATCCCGAAATAACAACACACAAACTGTATTCATTTAAACACTGCCTGGCCCATTTCTATTAATGTATGTAGCACTGAGGTGCGCTTACCGGGAAGATTCTAGCCTACGTGCATCCTGGGTCGGAGCTTCATTGAGTCTACTCCAGAGAGCAGAGCTATGGAGTCTGAGCTCACTTCCTCTTCCTCCCAGCATTCTGTTCTGTTTACTCCACCCACCTATGTTCTAACCTATAAAATGGGCCAAGGCAGTTTCTTTATTAGCCAATGACCTTCCTCCATCAAAGAATTTTCAACTATCATTTAGAGATGGGAGTACACGTTGCTAATGTAGTTTGTGGAGTGAGGGCATTCTAAAATTTCTAAGTGCATTGTGAATTGCATATGTACACATACTATGTGCAAGTTAAAGTACATTATTAAAATATGTATGTGTGTATATGTGCATGGAATCTGACATAACCAAAACCAAATTGGGATTATAGGTCCTGAAACTCTTGTGTGTCTGCCTCACTGTTATATGGTGTGTTGTAATTAGTTTCCACCATTTGTGACTAAGCTGTTTGAGAATAGGGGTGCTGTTTGTCCCTGTTACATGTTAAATACTTTGCCTGTAAGTAGTAAATTTTGAAAATGGTTATTGAATAGATGTATATATGAGTTTATAATGGGAACAATAAAGTGCTTGTGAAGATAAAGTTGTTACACATAAAGGACTAAGGATCGTGCCAAACCTCAGAAGTGATCTCTTCTCATTACCAGACCATGAAGGTTAAAATGTCTTGCTATGTGTAAATGTAAGCCCATGTTTTCCCTGATTGTGTGACTAGCCCCAGATATTTGAGTTCTTCTCCAATGACAAGACAATGATAAGCCACACAATCCTGTCCATATAGCTGGCATACATAAATCTATTTAACCCACTTATACTTTCTAGTCAGTTAGGAAACTGCTTTTAATGTAAAGAATGAGTGGAGCAATGATTGAATAAACATAGTTCCCTTTTTAAAAGTTTTTATCTTGTAAATATTGTATTCTAGAAGACTGATGTACTTACAACTATATGCAAACAAAATAATGCTAGGTAGACACTTGTTGGAGAACATCAAGATTGACCTGACTGGAAAATACTGACTCAAGCAATTGCTGAACTGTTTATGCCAAGAGACAACAAATCTTGATAGTGAGAAAATACAGAATTTCACTGTGGGCATTTATCTTGAGCATAGTTTTCTTAGGAAAAGTCCCGTGAATTAGTTTTTAAGTTGAAGACGGAATTCATTAATGTACTTGAACAGGCTAATGACTTCTTCTTCTTTGAAACTTGGGCCACAGAGCTCCTGCCTTAAGCCTGGGAATATTGCTGACTGGTTGCTTAATCTAACATTTTTATTAGTATCAGTTTTTTTTTTTTTAAGGTTCCTTTCCATTATGTTTCTAAGTCTCATGTTAAAATACTTTATAAAGTAGAAGACAAGGTGATGGTGGGGTGTCTGGTAATGGCCCTTTTTTTTCCCCTTCTGGTATTTTGAGACAACGTGTTTCTGCATAGCCCCTGCTGTCCTGGTATTTACTATGTAGATCAGGCTATCCTTAGATGTAGAGAGATCTGCCTGACTCTGCCACTGGAATGTTAAGATCAAAGGTGTGTGCTACCACCACCCAACACTTGATAATAGTCCATTTCCTCTTCCCCCTCCTCCTTTTCCTCCTCCTCTTCTTTCTCTGCGTCCTCTTCCTCTTTCCCCTCCCCCTCCTCTTCTTTTCTCTTTCCTCTTTCTTCTTTGATAGGGTTTCTCTGTGTGGCCCTGGCTGCCCTGGAACTTGCTTTGTAGACCACTTTTGACTTCAGATCTATCTTCCTCTGCTTCCCAAAAGGTGGCGCCTGCTATATGTCTTCTTATGGAAGAGGGATTCTCTTTCAGGTGTATTTTACAACTCTTAACTGATGTTCATTAGGATTTTGCTTCTCACATAACTTCTCTCAGCATCTTTCCATAGGAAATTAAGATTTAGCATATGAATTTTAGGAGGACAGAAGCATCCAGACCATAGCATAGACATAGACATGTATATACCTGAATAAATGTTGAATAGGTATTTACAGAAATGATAATAAATGGTTTCAAAAGAACATTGCATATTCTAGATTATAAGTATGGTGTTTTAATTGGTTGTTGAAAAACTTGTGTGATCTTTTTGAGTTTTTTTTTTTCTCCCACTAAAATATTAAAAGGATCCTTGTTTTAACTGACAGTGAAGATCTCAAAATTATTTGTAGGTGTTGGATCTTCAGCTCTAAAGAGGCCATTTGAAGATGGATTAGGGGATGATAAAGATCCCAATAAGAAGATGAAACGAAACTTAAGGAAAAGTATGTAAATCCTTATTCTTATTGTGGGAACTAGAGAAGGTTTATAACTTCAGAAAAATAAGAAATGAAGAGTTTCATTAACTTGAAATAGAATTTTAAGAATAGACATGAGTTGACAAAATTGGTAATAGAAGAACTTTGAGTTTTTAAGTTTCATTGCTTAAGACATCAATGTTGACAAATAGAAATTATTGGGACATTATTTTTATCATCCGATTAGTGTAAGAAATTCAAAGATTACTTTCTCATGGAGTGAATGTGTATTTGTATTTTAAAATTCTCATTTTTTTTTTTTTTTTTTTTTTTTTTTTTTAGTTTTTTCGAGACAGGGTTTCTCTGTAGCTTTGGAGCCTGTCCTGGCACTAGCTCTTGTAGACCAGGCTGGCCTCGAACTCACAGAGATCCACCTGCCTCTGCCTCCCGAGTGCTGGGATTAAAGGCGTGCGCCACCACTGCCCGGCTTAAAATTCTCATTTTTGTAAACATATGAGATATTTGAAAACATTATGTTTATTTATTTTATGTCTATGAATGTTTTGCTTGCATGTATATATTTGTATCATGTGCATGCCTGGTGCCTGCAGAAGTCAGAAGAGGGCATGTAACATGAGGGCCTGCTTGTTGGGGGTTTCTGTCCTCCCAACAGGTCCCACAACTAGTATATCTCAAAGATATTACACAGAAATCTATATTAATGATAAACTGATTGGCCCATTAGCTCAGGCTTCTTATTAACCCTTATAACTTATATTAATTAACCTATTATTCTTATCTATGTTAGCCACATGGCTCAGTACCTTTTTCAGCGCAGTAGATCTCATCTTTTTTCTTTGGTGTCTGGGCAGGACTGAGGAAGAAATGGGCTTCCTCCTTCCCAGAATTTTTCTGTTCTCATTGACCCGCCTCTACTTTCTGTCTGATTGTCCCGCCTACTTCCTGCCTGGCTACTGGCCAATCAGCATTTATTTAAAACATAATTGACAGAATACAGAATTGTCCCCACACCACCCTAGAAATGGAGTTAACAGGTGGCAGTGAACTACCATGTATGTGAATGCTGGGAACTGAACCCATGTCTTTGCAAGAGCAAGTGTTCTTATGTGCTGACCCCTTTCTAGGCCATTCCACAGTTAATGGAAGCTACAGATGTATAGTTTGAAGCAGAATAGCTTGCTAATTAATTTGTTCTAATTTCTCTTTCTCTCTTAGTTCTGGACAGTAAAGCAATAGACCTTATGAATGCACTAATGAGATTAAATCAGATCAGGCCTGGGCTTCAATATAAGCTTTTGTCACAATCTGGCCCGGTCCATGCCCCAGTCTTCACAATGTCTGTAGATGTGGATGGTACAACATATGAAGCCTCAGGACCATCCAAGAAAACAGCAAAACTTCATGTAGCAGTCAAGGTACAGTATCCTTTTACTTGCCAGTGCTTCCTTTGTTTTGTTCAGATAAAGGGCTTGTGTGTAAAAGACTTTAAGTAACATAGAAACTTCTTTCATCACATCACATTTGTTGTTGTTGTGACATAATATGTGTTGATTGTATGCAATTTAGAAAATATAGAAAAATATATCACTAGCATATTTCTAAGCCAGATATGTTTATACATGGTACACTGTTTTTGGTGATGCTTTGTTCTTGAGGATTTTTTTAATAGGGAATAATAATGAAGATTTTTGAATAATCAATCATATATGTAGAAAATGCCCAAATAATGAAATATCTCAATAAATAAATCTGATTTATTGTAGACTAATGCCAAAATGTCACAGATCATGTATGTACAATGAAGTGTGATTTTTATTTATTCTGTGATTTAAGAGTATATGGTATAAAATAGAATTAGTCTGTTTTCATGGATATTACATTTGCTAAAGCAGTATGCTATATGCTAAGGTAAGAAGAGTTTATGGAACTTAGTGTGGATAGGATGGAGATATAAATAATGCATATATGGAAGGTGTATGTTATGTTAGTGATTAGAACTATACAGAAAAATAGTAACAAAGTGATAAAGATACCAGACAGTGTATATTCTGCTTTGTTTATAAGTTCGGTGCTTAAGTATATGAGGATATGAGTTTAAAATGAGACTGTAAATTGAACCCAAGACTTAAAAAAAAAAGAGTTTAATAACTGCTTCAGTTGTTTTCTATTGCTGTGATAAAGATCAATGTGGGCAGGAGAAGCTTTTTTTCAGCTTACACTTTATACACAGTTCATCTTGAAGGGAAGATAGGACAGGAACCTGGAGAGAAGAAGTGAAGCATAAGTAGGCCATGGAGGAAATCTGCTTACTGGTTTGCTCCCTGTGGCTTTCTCAGTTTTCTTTCTTATATATCCCAGGGGTGGCATTGCCTGCAGTGGGCTAGACCCTCCCACATCCATCAGTTAAAAAAAACTTTACAGACTTGCTGACAGTCCAATCTTACGGGGGCATCTTTCTTTCTTTCTTTCTTTCTTTTTTTTTTCCCCCAAGACAGGGTTTCTCTGTAGCTTTGAAGCCTGTCCTAGAACTAGCTCTTTTAGACTAGGCTGGCCTTGAACTCACAGAGATGGTCTTTCTCTAGGGGCATTTTTTAAATTGAGGTTCTCTCTTCCCAGATGACCCAAGCTTGTGTCAAGAAGACAAAACTAAAACAAAATTCACCATCGCAAATGAACCTGAGAATGAACTGCAAGTTTAAAGCTAAATTCTGTAGCCAGTGAGACAAAAATCTTATGAAATAAACTATCTGTGACGTAAAAACAGTCAGTTGATTTTTGAGAGTCACAGTTGTGTTTGTATAAGGGTCAGGTGGGCATTTCTTCTGGATAGATCTTTATAAAATAGGAAACCAGTGATCCTTAATGGATTGTCTTCTTTTACTTTATGCTAATAGTCTCATAGCAACTTGTAGTTAAATTTTTTTATGTTGTAAATTAGATGCTATTTTTACTTGATGCAGTATAACAATATTATACCATGATGGATTATTTTAACCTAAATTTTGATAAATATGGGGAGAGGGCTTGTATACTTAGAGTTTCTCAGTTTGCTTTCTTATATTCCAAAGGTATATAAGCACACATCTGAGACATCAGTTATAATTCTAATGGAATTGGGTGAGAGGAGCAAGTTAACATCTGTTGTCTGAGGTTTCTGTCCTGCCTGGTTCCCTCAGTTGTTAAGTCCCAAAAGAATCACACAGAGGTCTCTATTAGTTATAAACTGATTGCCCCATTACCTCAGGTTTCTTATTAACTCTTATAATGTATATTAGCCCATTATTCTTGTTTACATTAACCACATGGCTCAGTACCTTTTTTCAGCGAGGTAGTCACATCTTGCTTCTTCTATGGTTGGGCCACAGAAGACTTCAGAGGAATGGGCTTTCCTCTTCCCAGAATTCTCCTGTTCTCATTGACCACCTCTACTTCCTGTCTGGTTGTCCTGCCTATACTTCCTGCCTGGCTACTGGCCAATTAGCGTTTATTTGAAACATAATTGACAGAACACAGAGCATTGTCTCACACCAAATACCCTTCTTAGATATTTCAGAAGTAGATGGCTGTCATGCTTTTTCTCTTTCTCTTCTTTTTCTTTGTTGCAGTTAAGGTAGAATGTGCAGTTGAGTAGTAAATCTGAACTTTGTGAAGAGATGAGATTTGCCCATTTTGAGCAGTCACTCAACTAGATTGCTGATCCACTCAGGGAAGGTGAAATATCTGAGTAAATTGGCTTTGAAGCTTTGGATGCCCCTCTGTGAATAATTTGTTTGGCTTATGATGATTATTCAACAATGTTATATGAAGGTGTAGTTAGAAGTAGCCTGTGGTCCGTTCTGTGTCTTCCCATTCTTATACTAGTTTGCGTACTAGGTAGCTATGTTCTAGAGTTTGCTTGCTATATTAAGGCAAAGAGTTCTTTCCAAGGTTTTCAAGTTTTAATGTTAATATTTTTAACGTGTGTGTGTGTGTGTGTGTGTGTGTGTGTGTGTATGTAGTGGGGAAGAGTGTACATTGTGATGGCATGAGTGTAAATGTGACTGTCAGGACAGCGTGTGGGAGTCTGTTCTCTTTCTATCTTATGGGATCCATGGATCAAACTTCAGTTATCAGATCTGGCAGCAAGTACTTGTGTCCTCCATCATGCCAGTACAAGCTTTTTAGGTAGTTTTTATTTTTACATCTGGCTTTTTTAAAAGTTGGCTTTTCTTTCTCTTTTTAGTTGTCATGTATGTTTGTTATGATTTAGAATGAAACATCCTTAATTCTGAGTTAGAAATAATAGTAGCAGTTTTTACATTTACATGCAGAAGGTATATATTTTTTCCTGAGATTTATTTTCATTTAAATGTACAATTCTAAAATTCAAGAACATTTACCTGTTTGATGTAATCATGGAGTTTGTACTAATTGGGTGGCAAGACCAAAGCTGAATTGATAAAGGGTTATTTTTAGTCTTTATTATTCCACTTATTGATTCTGTATATGAACACATGTATACATATATATGTATAAGTTAGTACCTGAGAATTCACTTGGCAAGTGAATTTGACAAGTCACTTGGTTTTGTGTTAAGTTTTGGAAATGGAACTTAAGAATTCTTAAAGGAAATTAGCCCCAAGAACAGTGGATATACATGTTGTGTATAAATATGTACATAAAGTAGGCCCATGTTAAGTTATTTTTCTATTAAGGATTGTTCTAATATTAAGTGAAGGTTATTTTTTATCAAGTTATCCTAAAGTATTTGTTTTGGATGTCTTAGTTTATTGCTTTTCCTATTTGTGACTTTGCCTTATTATTCTATAAGATAAGTTCTAGAGATGGAATTACTAGGCCAAAGTTAATGAATAATTCATTAAAAAATGTATTGAGAATCTTATTATGTATCAGAATACATTGCAAGATTGCCATCCCTGTAGGTGATACAGACATGTAGAGATGAGTCGGAGGGAGTGCTGTATTTCTAAAGGTAGATCCTTTGTGACAGGACCACATAGGCCATCTTTCCAGTCATCTTAGTGGCTCTTGGGGAAAATACCTCATCAGAGAGGTCACTCCAGAGTCAAAGTGCAATAAATCAAGCAGAAATCTGTCATGCCACATTAGTGTGACTTAGCCTACCCAGTTGCAGCTTCCCTCTCCTCTTGCAGCTTTTTCCTGAAAGCCTCTAACAGAGGGTACTTTTTTTTTTTTTTGATTTTTTTTTTGAGCTCTACATTTTTCTCTGCTCCCCTCCCCTTCACCCCTTTCCCAAGGTCCCAATGCTCTCAGTTTACTCAGTTCTTGTCTTTTTCTACTTTCCATGTAGATTATATCTATGTATGTCTCTCTTAGGGTCCTCATTGTTGTCTAAATTCTCTGGGGTTGTGGTTTGTAAGCTCGTTTTCTTTACTTTATGTTTAAAAACCACATATGAGTGAGTACATGTGATAATTGTCTTTCTGGGTTTGGGTTACCTCACTCAAGATGATGTTTTCTACCTCCATCCATTTTCATGCAAAATTCAAGATGTCATTATTTTTTTCTGTTGTGTAGTACCCCAGTGTGTAAATGTACTACATTTTTTTTTAATCCATTATTCGATGGAGGGACATTTAGGTTTTCTCCAGGTTCTGGCTGTGACAAACAATGCTGGTATAAACATAGTTGAGCACATATCCTTGTGGCATGATTGAGCATCCTTTGGATATATACCCAGAAGTGGTATTACTGAGTGCTTGAGGAAGGTTGTTTCCTAATTTTCTGAGAAATCGCCACACAGATCTCCAAAGGGGCTGTGCCAGCTTGCACTCCCACCAGCAATGCAGGAGTGTTCCCTTTACCCCGCAACCTCTCCAGCATAAGTTGTCATCAGTGTTTTTTATCTTGGACGGTCTTATAGGTGTAAGATGGAATCTCAGAGTTGTATTGATTTGCATTTCTCTGATGACTAAGGATGTTGAGCATTTCCTTAAGTGTCTTTCAGCCATTTTAGATTCCACTGTTGAGGTCTGTACTCAATTTTTTTTATTGGATGATTTGTTCTTTTGATGATCAATGTCTTGAATTCTTTGTATATTTTGGAGATCAGACCTCTCTGTCTGATGTGGGGTTAGTGAAGATCTTTTCCCATTCTGTAGGCTGTCATTTTGTCTTATTGACCGTGTAAGAAACTTGAAGTTTCATACTAGTCCTATCCCTTGTCTGCCAAGGGATTCCACCCTGATGTGAGCACACACACACAGACACACAGGCATACAGATACACAATGAATCAAGGACTTCATGTATGCCAGGCAAAAATTCCACTTTGGAGCTATGTTTCTACCTTTTATTAGCTATTTTAAAGATTTATTTATTTTTATATGTGTATACGCGTTTTGCCTTCTCTTGTGTATGTGTGCTGTGTCCACAGTAGTCAGAAAAAAGTGCTGGGCCCCTTGGAATTGGAGTTACAGGTGGTTGTGAACCACCATATGGGTGATGGGAACTTAACCTAGGTCTGCTTCAAGATAAAACATTGCTGGTCTCTCCAGTCTCGGTTATTAAAAGTAGTTATTAGGTATCTATTTATCTTGAAAGCGGATATTGTATCTCTCAAGAGATAATACACCACTTTTATAAATTGTAACTTAACTTGTGTTAACAAATAAATGGCTCAGGACAAGTGAGAAGAGCAAAGGAAGAAGTGGTATTCAATAATTATCATTGAGATTTCAACTGCTATTAAATTGAGAAACCTCTCCCCTGCTGTGATGCTGAGATTTGAACTTAGGCCAGTACCCGAATTCCAAGCCACATCCCTCTGTGCCTTTGTAATAGAAGAGACAAGCCCCATTGTTGGTGATGCTTGACTTTGACCTGTGGTGGGCATTATTAATTTTAGTTTTATACCCATATCTCTTGTCCAGGGTGAGATTATTCAGGGGGAGAGCATTATTTTCAGAACTCATGGGAGCAGGTGTTTTCTTTATGAAATATTGATGTACTAGCCAAGTGATGTTAGTGTACTTAGTGTAAAGTGCTGTCTGAGTACTTTTAGAACTTAAGATGTTAAAAGGGGTTATTGGCTTTATGGCTTAGTAAACTTAAGGAATTTATTTATGATGAGAATGCCAGATTCTCCGTATGAATTGGAGAATTCATAATTTCTATATGAATTCATAATTATTCTCCGTATAATTTCTAATTCCCTTTGCACAGAGTTCAACTTAAGCCCCTTCTTTTGTTTTGTGGGTATTACTGTTTTGTTTATATTGGTAAAATCTTTTATATAGCTGTCATTTTCTACAAAGACTTTAAAAAAAATTTGACCACTTGTAACATCATTTTGAGTCACCTTTTAATTACAATAGATAAAATGGAGAAATATGTCTTTGCTTATATACTCCAGCAACTAAAAACTGATTTTTTAGATCCTTACTCCTGTATCCATGGGCATATTGTTTTAATTAAAGGCTGAGAGAATGAGAGAATAGCTCAGTGGTGAGCAAGCACACATCCTGGCAAGACCTTGAGTTTGATCCTTATCACTCTCTTTTACTTAAAAATAAAGTTAAAAAAAAAGTTTAGTCAGTAACTAATTAATCTACTTTGGAAGAGACTTAAGATACTAGTGAATTCATTGTCTTGTTTACTGTAAAAATAGTGTAATCTGGAATGAGTGGTCAAAGATGATGTACATGTTCTTGCGTATACCTGCTTGCACAAAAGCCCACACAGGCAATATTGCAAAAGCTTTGTAGCTATGAAGCCTTGAGAGAGACACATAAGAAACAAATCTGGAAATTGTGGCTCTATTGGCAAACCAATTTGAAGGTAAAACACAAAGTGAAACCAACCAAATACAAACAAAACAAAGCAACAACGACAACAACTTTGGATTCTGTCCCTTGGCCAATTTCTCAATGGTTGTCACAGAATTTAAAGGTCAGCTGATCCATTCTTCTGCTTTATAGATGGAGAGATTGAAGACCAGAGGGGAGTGATGAGTAGGCTTTAACGTCTTTTTTCTTTCTAGTTTCATTTCCTTTTTTTGGGTGCTGTTTGAATGCCATCTCCCCCCTCCATTGGTTGAGCTTGACAGTGCTGTATGTTATCTTTATCATTCACCTCCAAATTAAATGAACTAGCAGTAATTTTAGACTTACATTTCTGAAGTCTTTGAGCTAGGGACTCTGAGGAAGCTTTCCCATTCTCATGCAGTGATACCCTGGTACATGGAATGGACTGAACCGAGGATTCACAGGTGTAGTACAATTTTGTTCTTCACAGGTGTTTCTGAAAACTAAATGTTACAGATTCTGAAACCTTTTTATCTCACAATTTCAGCTGTCATTTTTGATCTTTAGTAACTGAATAAACATGTTTTAATGGGATTTGTGCAGGTTTTGCAGGCGATGGGATACCCAACAGGTTTTGATGCAGATATTGAATGTATGAGCTCCGATGAAAAATCAGATAATGAAAGCAAAAATGAAACAGTATCTTCAAACTCAAGCAATAATACTGGAAATTCTACAACTGAGACCTCCAGTACCTTAGAGGTATACTTGTGTTCTTTTCTTCTGTAGAATATAGTGTGAGTGTTGTGGAAATCTTAGAGATGTGGAAAAGAGTAAGTGTCTCAAAGAGGCATAAATTACTAATAGTTTGAGTGGTACTGAGCATCAGACCCTAGACTATGTGGATACTAGGCAAGCACGCTACCACTGAGCCACAGCTGTAGCTCTCTACTTGATTATTATGCTTTGTTTTCTTTTTTCGAGACAGGGGTTTTCTGTAGCTTTGAAGCCTGTCCTGGAACTAGCTCTTGTAGTTTGAGGCTGACCTCAAACTCACAGAGATCCACCTGCCACTGCCTCCCAAGTGCTGGGATTAAAGGCGTGTGCCACCATCGCCTGGGCTGTTTTGTTTGTTTTTGAGACTGGGCTTCTAGTAGTCCAGCCTGGCTGTATAGTTGATGTTGACATTGAACTCCTGCTTCTACTTTCCAAGTGCTCGGATTACAGGAGTATTGTCACAACATTTGGCTCTGTTTCTGGTTCCTAACTGCTCCCTCAGGGGAGTGGGTGAAAAGGCGCAGTGTCAACAACATAGACAGCTAGAGTTAGGTAAACGACAAACAGCAGACTCATTTATTCAGCAATGGGGAGAGCCTTGTATACCTTCCTCCTAGCATTCAAGCTGAGATCTGATCTGTCGACAAGTGGTCATCCCTCATTTTAGGCATAATCAGGACAGCACCTGTTTGCTAGGCCTTCAGGCAGACTCATGTTGACGTACCTCTTCCTGTAGGCCTTATCTTCCTACATGGCTCTTTACCTTAATTTTGCCCAGAGATATTTCTGAATATATGTATGATGATAGCCATATTTTCAAATAGTTGTACATCTTGATCTTCTTTTATTGACCTCCTAAAAAGAATGTCAACATACCTATAGAAAAAAAACTATATGCTAATTTAAGAAGCCTACTGAAGGGGACTGGAGAGATGGCTCGGAGAGTAAGAGCACTGGTTGCTCTTCCAGAGGTCCCGAGTTCAATTCCCAGCAACCACATGGTGGCTCACAACCATCTCAAATGAGATCTGGTGCCTTCCTTGCCAGCAGTACATTGTATGCTTAATAAATAAATCTTTTTTTTTTTTTAAAAAAGAAGCCTACTGAACATGGAAGATACTTCTAGAATGTCATAATTATAATATATCAAGACTATTGGTACTAACTGAAGGACAAAACCTAAAAAATATAGTGGAGGAAACAGAATTTTTTGAAGTGTGCGCTAAGCAGGGGCACATGAGGATAAGTTCACCATTTAATTTGTACATCTTTACAGGAGATTGTAGACTGCCCACTGTGTATTTAAGAATCAGAGTCAGCACTAGTGATCCCAGAAAATAGAATGGGATGAATCTAAGTACTGAGTATGTGTAGTACACTGAGAGGAACCCATGTTGGTTGCATTCCTTCTGAAGAACTGGGGCTTTGGAATAATAGCAGAAACTCACATTTATTTTACTTTTTTGAAGAAAGGTGTTTATTTGGGGTGAGGAAACACACATAGCAGACATGGAATGTACAGAGAAAAAGACTCTGCAAAGCAGAGGGAGGACTCAGAAAGCTGAGAAACCCAGTTTCTTCTCTAGGAGTTTTAAAGGTCCTGAAGATCTTCCTTCCCTAATTTAGGGTCAGTCAGTTTGAAGAAAGACAGGATGGTTGATTGTCCCAGAACTGTTGTGTGACATGTCCTGAGCAGCCTTGAACTTGAGCCTATCCATCATAGGGGAACTGCTGGTGGAAGATCAAAGCCTTGCTTTTGTTTTAAGCTGCCAGGCTTTTGTTTCAAGTCTGGAGGGTTAGGAAGAAGCTGGCCATCTTAGAAATTTGTTACCTTTCTTGCCCTCTCACGACCCCTCTCCCTATCTCACTCCTAATGGGAGTATGTGTAACTCCTGGTTTCTTATCACTTTTCCTCAGAGATCACCCTAACAGGTGTTAGGAGGTTTAAGGGTGACAGTTCCTCTTAGGTTCTTAGAACTGACAATGTGGGCAACAGTCACAGTGCCTCAAAGAGTGAATCATCTAAGGGGCCATGATAAAATTTAACTGAGGGCAATGATCCGGAGCATAAGAAAGTATTTGGTGATGGTATGTATCTTAGGAGCTTGTCGTGTGAGGTAGCATCTTGATGAGTTAGTTGGTGGTCCTCAAAAGAAATCCCAAGTTAGGTCTTAAAATGATACCAACTTCAGAAGTCAGAGATGAGCCCCTAAAGTCATATCATTTAGGAGTTTTGATGGAGTTTTTTTTCTCTGCCAGTTAAAGGATAAAGGATAGGAAACATCAGGAGACAAGCAATAACAGCAAAGAAATCTCAAGACCTACTGATAGAATGGCAATTGAAGGAAGAAAGCATTTTATTGAGGATGGGAAACACAGACAGGCAGAAAAAAAGACCTTCTGCATATCAGATGGAAAAATTGGAAAGCCAAAATAATCCCTACATTAAAAAGTAAAACAGGACTGAGCCAGCGACCTACACCAGAGCAGGTCTGAGGCAGCAAACTTCAAAAGAGCAGGACTATGCCAGCTACCTAGGCCAGAACAGCCTGAGACAGCAAGCTCCAAGAGTGGAACAGATTCAGACCAGGGACATTTGTGGAGGCAGGACTGAGCCAGAGACATGGGCCAGCACATACTTGGGACCGTGAACGCCACAGGAGCAGGTACAGGGGAGCAACTGCATAGGGAGTAGGCCAGAAACAGAGACCACTGCGGGTCCAGGCATGAATCTGGCACCATTGAGGGAGTAGACCTGCATCAAGACCCCTGAAGAACTAGGCCTGAGCTAGGACCTCTGTGTGTCCAGGCGTCTGTCTGGGAGTAGGCAGGAACCAGAAATCTCTGCGGGTCTGGGCGTGAGTCTGGGAACTCTGAGGCAGTACGCCTGAGCCAGGTCCTCTACGGGTCTGAGCATACCTGAGTCTGGGAATTCTGAGGGAGTAGATCAGAGCCAGAGACATTTACAGGATCAACTCCAAGCCAGGGACTTCTGAAGGAGCAGATCCAGACCAGGGACATTTAGAGAAACAGGTCTGAGCCAACAACCTAGGCTAGAGCAGGCCTGAAAAAGCAAACTCCACAGGAACAGGGGTAAGCCCAGAGTGTTGAGTGACCTCCAGGAACATGAAGTGACCAATGGGGTAACTAGAATTGTGGCACTGACTGTACCATGAGGAACAACCATAGGAGTGTTGGATTTACTGGCACCTAGCAGATAATAATCACCAGAATCACAGACAGCCCCAAGCACAACAATTAGAGGAAAAGATGAGTAGACAAGGTAAAAACACATGCAATACCACAAAGACCAACATAACACCAGTAAAATCTAGAGACCATACAACAGCAAGACTTGAACAACCAATAATAGATAAAGCAAAAGAAAATGACCTAAAAAATAACTTCAGGAAACTCTTAAAGAGGAAATGAGGAAATTCCCTCAAAGAAATGGAGGAAAAGACAAACAAAATATTGGAAGACATCAGCAAATCCCTTAAAGAAAACCAAAAAAAAAAAAAACATTGAACGTATGAAAGAAACTATTCAAGACTTGAAAACTGAAATAAGACAATAAAGTAATCACAGGCCAAGGGAATTATAGAAACAGAAATCATGAGAAAATGATCACGAACCACAAACATAAGCATAAAGAGCAGACTACGAGAAATGAAAGAGAAAATCTCAAGTGCTGAAGATACAATAGAGGAAATAGACTCATCAATTAAAGAAAACATTAAATCTAACAAAAGCTTAACCCAAAATATCAGGAAATATGGGATAACATGAAAAGACCTAAGAATAATAGGTATAGAAGAAGTTCAACTCAAAAGTACAGAAAATATATTTAACAAAATCATAGAAGAAAACTTTCTTAACCTAAAGAAAGATATGCCTATGAATATTAAATAGTGCTCACCTGAATCATAAATGGGTTGAGAAAGAAATAAAAGGAGAAATTAAACACTTCCTAAAATTCAATGAAAATGACCACACAACATATCAAAATTTATGAGACACAATGAAAACACTATGAAGAAAGTTCATAGCACTAAACGCCTACATAAAGAAGCTGAAAAAAAAAATCCCACACTAATGAATTAACAGAACATTTGAAAACTTTAGGACAAAAGGAAGCAAACTCACCTAAGATAACTAGACAGCAGGAAATAATCAAATTGAGAGCTGAAATCAACAAAATAGAAACAAAGAAGACAATACAAAGAATCAATGAGACAAAGAGTTGGTTCTTCCAGAAAAATCAGCAAAATAGACAAACCTTTATCCAAACTAACCAAACGACAGAGAAAGAATATCCAAATTAACAAAATCAGAAATGAAAAGGGGGACATAACAACAGACACGGAGGAAATACTGAGAATCATCATGTCATATTTCTAAAAGTTGTACTCCACAGAACTGGAAAGCTTAAAGGAAATGGACAACTTTCTGGATAAATATCACTTACCAAAATTAAATCAAGACCAGATAAGCAAATTAAACAGACCTACAACTGCTGAAGAAATAGAAATAGTCATCAAAAGCCTCCCAACCAAAAAAGTCCAGGACCAGATGGTTTAAGCTCAGAATTCTACAAGATTTTCAAAGAAGGACTAATACCAATACTCCTCAAATTGTTTCACACAATAGAAACTGAAGGAACATTGCCAAACTCTTTTTATGCGTCTACAATTACCCTGATACCCAAACCACAGAAAGACATTAACTAAGAAAGAGAATTATAGACCAATCTCACTCATGAACATTGATGCAAAAACACTAAATAAAATACTGGCAAATCAAATCCAAGAACAAATCAGAACCATCATCCACCATGATCAAGTCGGCTTCATCCCAAGATGCAGGGATGGTTCAAAATACAAAAAAAATCTGTCAACATAATCCACCATTAAACTCACTGAAAAATAAAAACCACACGGTCATCTCATTAGATGCCGAAAAAGCTTTCCACAAAATACAACATCCCTTTATGATAAAGGTCTTGGAGAGAGCAGGGATACAAGGAACATATCTAAACAAAATAAAGGCGGTATACAGAAAGCCAACAGCCAACATCACACTAAATGAAAAACTCCCAGCTATTCTACTGAAATCAGAAACAAGACAAGTTTGTCCACTCTCTCCATATCTATTCAGTATAGTTCTTGAGGTCCTAGCTAGAGCATTAAGATAAGAAAAGGAGATGAAGAGGATACATTTCGGGAAAGAAGTTAAACTTTCACTGTTTACTGATGATATGATTGTTTACATAAGTGACCCAAAAATTCTACCAAGGAACTTCTACAACTCATAAACACTTTCAGTAATGTAGCAGGAAACAAGATTAACTAAAAAAAAAAAAAATCAGTAGCCCTCCTGTACACAGATGATAAATGGGCTGAGAAAGAAATCAGAGAAACATCCCCCTTCACAATAGGCACAAATAGCATAAAATATCTCAGAGTAACTCTAACCAAACAAGTGGAAGACTTGTATGGCAAGAACTTTAAATCTTTGAAGAAAGAAATTGAAGAAGACACCAGAAAGTGGAAAGATCTCCCATGCTCTTGGTTAGGTAGAATTAACATAGTAAAAATGGCAATCTTACCAAAAGCAACCTACAGATTCGGTGCAATGCCCAGCAAAATCCCAGAAAAATTCTTCACAGGCCTCGAAAGAACTCAACTTCATATGGAAATGCAAAAAGCCCAGGATAGACCAAACAATCTTGTACAATAAAAGAACTTCTGGAGGCATCACAATCCCTGACTTCAAACTCTACTACAGAGCTACAGTACTGAAAACAGCCTGGTATTGGCATAAAAACAGACAGGAGGACCAACAGAACTAAATCGAACACCCAGATATTAATCCACACACCTTTAAACACCTGATTTTTGACAAAGAACAAAAAAATATCAAATGGAAAAAAACATATTAGTGGTGCTGGCATGACTGGATATCAACATGTAGAAGAATGAAAATAGACCCATATCTATCACCATGCACAAAACTCAAGTCCAAATGGATCAAAGACCTCAACATAAAGCTAGCCACATTCAACCTCATAGAAGAGAAAGTGGGAATTATACTCGAACACATTGGCACAGAAGACCACTTCCTAAATATAAACCCAGTAGCACAGACATTTAGAGAAACAATTAATAAATGGGACCTCCTGAAACTGAAAAGCTTCTGTAAAGCAAAGGACACTGTCAATAAGACAAAACGACAGCCTCCAGAATGGGAAAAGATGTTCACCAACCCCACATGAGACAGATGTCTGATCTCCAAAATATACAAAGAATTCAAGACATTGATCATCAAAAGAACAAATCATCCAATAAAAAAAAAACTGAGTACAGACCTCAACAGTGGAATCTAAAATGGCTAAAAGACACTTAAGGAAATGCTCAACATCCTTAGTCATCAGAGAAATGCAAATTAAAACAACTCTGAGATTCCATCTTAAACCTATAAGAACGTCCAAGATAAAAAACACTGATGACAACTTATGCTACAGAGTTTGTGGGGTAAAGGGAACACTTCTGTATTGCTGGTGGGAATGCAAGCTGGCACAGCCCCTTTGGAGATCTGTGTGGCGATTTCTTAGAAAATTAGGAAACAACCTCCCTCAAGCGCCACTTTTAGGTATACACCCAAAGGATGCTCAATCGTGCCACAAGGACATGTGCTCAACTATGTTCATACCAGCATGGTTTGTCATAGCCAGAACCTGGAAACAGCATATATGCCCCTCGAATTCACCAGGAAAAAAATAATGACATCTTGAATTTTGCAGGAAAATGGATGGAGCTAGAAAACAATTTTGAGTTAGGTAACCCAAACCCAGAAGGACAAATATTACATGTACTCACTCATAAGTGGTTTTTAAACAGAAAGCAAAGAAAATCAGCCCACAAATTACAATCCCAGAGAATTTATACAACAATGAGGACCCTAAGAGAGACATACATAGATCTAATCTACGTGGGAAGTAGAAAAAGACAAGAACTCCTGAGTAAATTGGGAGCATGGGGATTTTGCGAGAGTGTTGAAGGGGAGGTGAGAGGCAGGAAGGGGAGCAGAGAAAACTGTAGAGCTCAATAAAAATCAATAAAATTAAATCAGAAAAAAAAGTAAACCAACAACAAAATCACAAACAAGGTTCCTGCCTCAGTTATGAGAGTAAGTAAGTGTCAAGGACTCAAGTCTGTAAATCCCTGTCAGTAATTGCTTAGCTCGATGTGCTGCAGCCATTGTGTCCTGAGTCTGAAAATGCACCACTGCAAAAAGCAAAAGGCTAGGGCCATAGTAGGTGCCCCAGATCAATACAAAAGTCTAGGGTCATAGTAGGTGCTCCAGATAAATACAGTAATGCAGAGTCTCTCTGGAAGGAGTGGTTGTTCCTGATGCATACAAAAGGCTAGGGTCATAGTAGGTGCTCCAGATAAATACAATAATGCAAAGTCTCTCTGGAAGGAGTGGTTGTTCCTGGTACGTACACTTAAAGCCATGTAAAATTAGAATATTGCAGCAAGAACACTTATGCAAGAATGGAGGGAACAGGTATTCTAGGTTGAAAGAAGGTGAGCTGCCATGTCCTGGAGTTGTAAGTATACATGTTTGAGCAGTGCCAAGTGGTCTGGTTGGTATGGAGAACACTGCTGTAGAACACTAGTTTCTCCTAGGTTGCTAAAGAAGATAGGTGGAGAGCATTCAGTCTGAGGATTCGTAGAGACAGGATCTCCCCTTCGTCTGAGCATTGGTAGATAAGAGCTCTCTAGTGACTGGCTGCTCTGCTTCTCTGATCTTTCAGTTCATCCATCCAACTCCCTCCTACCCCCAATAAGGTTTCTCTGTAGCTTTGGAGGCTGTCCTACCTCTTGTAGACCAGGCTGGCCTCAGACTCACAGAGATCCGCCTGCTGAGTGCTGGGATTAAAGGTGTGCATTGCCACTGCCTGGCTTGATCTTCCAGGTTTCACCCCTAATAGCTGACTCCAAGTTTTTATTATTAAGATCAATTAGAATTCGTACTACAGTGTGAGCTTCTCTCATAGCAGCTACATGACTTTTGGTAGTGGGTACTATTTCTGCTTTGTGGCAGTGAGTGGAGATCTCTTATTTCTTTTTTTAAATTACCTTAATTGATTAAAGTTGGGTGATTTGTGTATGGGTGGGTGGGGGGTGAGATTTGTTTGCATAAAAAGTGTTTTGTGGTTTGGAACCATCCTTCTAATAAGAATGTAATATATCCCTACCCCCATATTTCCAAACTATACTGTCCTTTGACTTGCTAATTCTCCCTTTTTCCTTGATAGCCACTCATGATTGGTCTGGCACTGAGCCCTTTAAAACCAGGGGTGCATATATTTCAAGGAAACTGTCCTTTAAAAGTAATCTTGTGTGGATGGGTGTGTCAGTACATGGTTGTAATCCCAGCTCTTGGCAAGTGAAATGAAATAACCAAAGAAATGAGAATATAAAACTTGAGTTCCACTGGGCAGTGGTAGCATACATCTTTTATCCCAGCGCTTAGGAGGTAGAGGAAGGCAGATCTCTGAGTTTGAGACCAGCCTGGTCTACAGAAGGAGTTCCAGGACAGTCAAAAGCTATGCTGAGAATCCCTGTCTCAAAAAACAAAACTACAGCAAAAAGCATTGAGTTCTAGCTTGCTTGGGCTAGAGAATGAGCTCTAAGTGAGGTTTCACCTCGGCAGTGCCAAACAGAAGGTTTCTACAGCAGGTACCTGCTCTGTAACAATTATACTGTACTTTTTGTTACTTTTAAACTTCAAAATCCATAGTTTATAGGCTATTGTTTTTTATATTAGACACTTTCAGATATGTTTAGAGGGACCGAGGGGCGTATAGAAACATTTCTCTCTCACATCCAAAATTGAGAGTTACTTCTTGCATACCTAAAGATGGAAATGGTGAATCTTCAAGGCATTATGCAAATTCCAGTTGTTGTATCTGCTTTGTTAGTTACCTGCAGTCTCAGGACTTGCACAGTTCAGTTCAAACCCTGCACTACTGTGGAGTGACCGGCAATGTTCCTTGTGTTTTTGAATGGGGGCAATCCTTGAAAGGCAGGCTGTTGATATAACTACTGTAATTACCGCTTACAGTTTCATCAGCTTAGATAATGTTTCGCCATAGGGTACAAAGGTGATTCATTTTAGCTTTTTATTAATTAGAATTAATAAATTTACTTTTAACATAATTATATTAAAAAGAAATTAGGTATTTTGAAGTCTTGATTGACCGTCTTATCTTCCCTTTCTCTTTTAGGTAAGAACTCAGGGTCCTATTCTCACAGCAAGTGGCAAAAACCCTGTAATGGAACTCAATGAAAAAAGGAGAGGTCTCAAGTATGAACTCATCTCAGAGACTGGTGGAAGCCATGACAAGCGCTTTGTAATGGAGGTACGTACCTAAATACAAACCTACCTTATTTTTTATTTCACAGACATATTCTTGAACTGATAGTAGAAAGCATTTTAGACTTCTGTTAGCTTTTATTATTTTAAGAACACTATTTGACTTTGAGTATTTTCTTCCTAAAATTTTTCTTTGTTTAGATTTATTTTACTTTATGTGTACTAATGCTTTGCTTGCATGTATGTGTGTGTATCATTGCCTGTTGAATCCCCTGAAAATAGAGTTATAGACAGTTGTGAGAATTGAATGTAGGTCCTCTCCAAGAGCATCAAGTACTCTTAACTGCTGAATTAATTCTCCATCCCTATGATATCTTCAAGTTAAAAGATATGTACAGAGAGTTTTCTGAGATAACTGTAAAGTGATGTTTTTAATTTCAGGTAGAAGTAGATGGCCAGAAATTTAGAGGTGCAGGTCCAAACAAGAAAGTGGCCAAGGCAAGTGCAGCACTAGCTGCTCTGGAGAAGCTGTTTTCTGGACCCAATGCAGCAAATAATAAGAAAAAGAAGATCATTCCTCAGGTATAAATGAAACAACCTTTGTAATATTCTCAAGTTAAATATCCTGTTTATTTGCCATTTTAGTGTCTCCTTAAATTTTATTTTTTTTCCCACACTTGGGAAGTAAGGTAGGTAATTAGATTCCTGTTAGTTCTAGGCCTGCTTAGTTTATATATTATTTTCCAAACCAACAGGACTACATTTGTATCTGTGTAACTGTGAATGTATGCCACATATGTGAGGGTGAGGGTTTCTACAGAGCCCAGAAGAGGGTATGAGATCCCCTAAAGCTCACTAGAGTTGCAGTTGGTAAAGGCAATTGTGAGCCACCAGAAAGTAGATACTGGGAACCAAACACAGAGCAGTTAGAACTTTTAACTACTGAGCCATTCTCTTACCCCCACCGTGTGTGTGTGTGTGTGTGTGTGTGTGTGTGTGTGTGTGTGTGTGTGTATATATATATATATATTTGGTTTTTTGAGACAGGGTTTCTCTGTAGCTTTGGAGCCTGTCCTGAAACTAGCTCTTATTGACCAGGTTGGCCTCGAACTCCTCTGCCTCCTGAGTGCTGGGATTCAAGGCGTGCACCACCACCTCCCAGCTCCCCACTATATTTTTAATTGGTATATAAAATAAGGGGTTTCATTGTGATTTTTCTTTTTTGTTTTTTTCAGACAGGGTTTCCTTGGATAGCCTGGCTGTTCTGGAATTTCTCTTTGTAGACCAGATTGGCCTTAAACTCAGAGATCCACTTTCCTCTGCTTCCCGAGTGCTGGAATTAAATGCAGGCACCACCACTGCACGGCATGGATTATTGTGACATTTTTATACATGTTTGCCATTGTACTTTGTTCTCCCAATTCACTGTCCTCTCCCCTGTCCCAATCCCTCCTAACCCAATGCTGGTACTTTTGTCCTCTCAAATGGTCTATTTTGTATAATATAATCATCTCCATTTCTACCAGTTTTTCTGGAAATACCATAATTTCATCATCTTTTTGTTTTTGCTTTTGTTTTTGTTGTTGTAGTTTTTTTGTTTATCGAGACAGGGTTTCTCTGTGTTACAGTCCTAGCTGTTCTTGAACTAGCTCTTATAGACCAGGTTGACCTCAAACTCAGAGATTCTCCTGTCTCTGCGTCCCAAGTGCTGGGATTAAAGGCATGTGCCACCACCACCTAGTAAAATTTCATCATCTTTATACCTAATAAAATCAATCTCTCTCTCTGTTCATGTATGTGTGTCTATGTTTGTGTGCATATCATATTTTCTTTATCCTTTTATCTGTTCTTCTAGGCTGATTCTGTGTCTTGACTATTGTAGATACTTCAGCAATAGGTATGGATATGCAAGTATCTTTGCAGTATAGACTTAGAATCCTTTGGGTATAGCTGTGTTATATTGTAGTTCTACTTCTAGTGTTTTGAGGAGCCTTGGTATGATTTCTATAGTGGCTATCAAATTTACATTTCTACCAGGGGCAACAGAAGGTGCGTCTTATTAAAAAAACACTTATTTTATGTCTATGAATATTTTGCCTGCATGCACATATATGTCCATCATGTGTATGCTTAGTGCTATGGATCCCCTGGAACTGGAGTTAAAGACAGTTTTGAGCCGCCACATGGGTGCTGGGAATTGAACTTGGGTCTTCTAGGAAAGCAGCTAGTTCTCCCAGCCACTTAGCCATTTCTTTAGGCCTCATGAATAAGGATTCTTAATCTACATCCTTGCTAGAATTTGCTGTTTCTGTTTCTGTGTGTGTCGTTAGGTGGTGGGGTCATACACATGGGCTTTAGGCATGCTAGGCATACACTCTACCACTTATTTATATCTCTAGTCCTGTTTTCTGACTTGGGTGAGATGAAACCTCAGTGTAGTTATCTTTTTCTGTGATGTATTGAACATTATTTTAAAAATTTATGGCCATTTATATTTTTCCTATGAGAACTCTCTATTCAATTCATTAACCTATTTACTGAGTGTTTTTTTTTTTTTTGGTGTTTAAATTTTGGAGTTCTTTACAAATTATTGATTATTCTCTGTGTGATGGCCAAGATTTCTCTCCTATTCTGTACACTGTCTTTTCTGTCATTTTGATGGTGGTTTTCTTTGCTGTGTAGTAGAAGCAACCCCATTTGTCCATTCTTAGTTTATTTCCTATGCTATTGGAGTTCTTTCAGAAAGCTTTTACCTGTGCCTAGACCTTTGCACTCCGCTTAGCACTTTCAGAGTTTCTGGTCTTTCTTTAAGGTCTTTGATACATTATGATTATGATTATCTAATTTGTCTGTCTGTCTGTCTGAGAGATTGGACCTTAGTTTCATTCCTCTACATGTGGATATCCTATTTCTTTATTGATGAGGTGATCTTTTTTCCAATGTGTGTTTTTGACACCTTTGTCAAAAAGTAAGTGCCTGTAGCTTTGTGGTCTTATTTATAGATCTTGCAGTTTACTTCCTTAGTCTGTGTGATATTTTGTGCTAGCACCATACTGCTGCCGTTATTATAGCTCTGTAGTGTAATTTGAGATGAGCTGTTATGATGCTTTGTTTTAAAGATGAACTTAAAGAGATCATCTCTGGTTGGGTATTTTGGTTAGAATCTGTTAGGAATTTGATATATATTTATATATCAAATTTATATATTTGATATATATATAATATATATATATTATATATCAAAGCTACTAATTTTTGTTAATTTTATATTCTGCCACTTTGCTGAGAGTATGTACTGGATTTATTTATTTATCTATCTCTTTATTTATTATTTTTTATTTTCGAGACAGGGTTTCTCCGTGTAGCTTTGGAGCCTGTCCTGGCACTTGCTCTATAGACCAATTTGCTTCTGTCTTTCAAGTGTTGGGATTAAAGGCATATGCCACCACTGCCTGACTAGATTTAACAATTTTTGTGTGGAGTCTTTAGGGTCTTTTAAGTATAGGATCTTGTTATTTGCAAATGGGGTCATTTGAGTTCTTTTCTGCTCCCCACTTACGTGACTGCTCTAAGTAGGATTTTGAGCACTATATTATGTAGCAACAGAAAAAGATGGCACCCATCTTATTTCTGATTTTTTTTTTACATTTAGTATAATGTCAACACATAAAGCATTTTTTAATATTGAGGTTTGTTCTTTCTATTCCTAGTGTCTTTGGGGCTTTTTTAAAATTTTTTTTTCATTTGTTGCATGGAGGATGTATACATGTCAAGGCATGCATGTGAAGTTAGGACAGCTTCACATTCTTTACCATGTGGCTCAGGGGCTCTAACTCACATCAGGATCAGTGACTAAAGCCATTTTTTTAAATCATGAAGAGATGTTAAACTCTGTCAAAAAAGCCTTTTCTGCTTTTATTGAGATGATTGTATGATTTCTGCCCTTAAATTTGCTTATGTGCCACTTAAGTTTGTGAAATTGTTTATCCTTAATGTCTTGGCAGCTTTCTCTTTGGGACAGGTTATAAGTAATACACATCAAGACACAACTTCTGTTCAGTGGGTATTTGGTTTCTGCCCATAATTTTGTGGAAAGTGAAGTCATTATTGATACAGTGAAGAATAGAGGTGATTTGTCCAGTTGTAGTCCCTGCCTGCCTGCTGGAGCTCACTCAACCCCCACCCCACCCATGCCCCAATTCCTCACCACGATGTGCTTCTGTATTGTGGTGGTAGTAGTTAGTTGTTTGTTTGTGGGGAGAGGAGAGACAGATCCTACTCTGTGGGTAGCACACAACATGATTGTGTTGTCCATGTAGACTACTACTTTGGGAATGTCAGTGCCACTTGGAGGCCCAGGATCTTTATAAATTATTATTTTCTTTAAATATTTATTCATTCATTTATTCATTTATTCATTTATTTATTTATTTATTTATTTATTTATTTATTTATTATGTATACAATATTCTGTCTGTATGCCTGAAGGCCAGAAGAGGGCGCCAGACCTCTTTACAGATGGTTGTGAGCCACCATGTGGTAGCTGGGAATTGAACTCAGGACCTTTGGAAGAGCAGGCGATGCTCTTAACCACTGAGCCATCTCTCCAGCCCCCTATAAATTATTAAGATATTTGGGAAAGATGGCCTCTTAGTTATATGTATTAGTATGAAATTTTTCTATCTCTTCATTTTTGTATCACAAAAATATTTTTAGACATTTATGTCTGAATTATATATATAATTCTGAGGGGAAAAGATAATGTAAGTAAAATATAAGACATGTTGTCATTCTCATAGTGAGTGCTGGTGGCAACACTAATGGCTGAATACATTATATGATAGAAAAAATACAATAAATGTTTAGACTAGTGAAAGGAACTTAAGACTATTTGAACCTCAGTGAAACATATTTAGATTTTTTCACATATGGTAAATCCATTTTAGGAGGATAGAACACCATCACATTTTACAGGGGAGAAATTAGGAAAGTTGTAGATGGTTCCATGATAGATAAAGTTCCTTGTTAGAGGCGCTGAATTAGGGAGGATGATCAAGGAAAATCAAAGTAAGCATAAAATGTGATAGTGAGCCTGGCGGCGGTGGCGCATGCCTTTAATCCCAACCCTCAGGAAGCAAAGGCAGGTAGATCTCAGGTTCAAGGCCAGCTTGGTCTACAAGATCTAGTTCCAGGACAGCTAGGACTGTTAAACAGAGAAACTCTGCCTCATAAAGGGGAAAAAAAAGTTATAGTGAAACCACCGTACTTTCTTTGCTAATTAAAAGTAGCAATTATAATTGGGTGCAGTGGCACATACCCTTAATCTCTGTACGGCAGAGGCAGATGTAAATGGATCTCTCTGAGTTTGAGGCCAGCCTAGTCTATATAGTGAGTTTCAAAGAAAATCAAAACAAAACCCCAAACTTGTTTTTAAATGACAAAATAGGAAAAATAACTTTAATTTCCATGTGGATACATAAGAAAAACCAATCTTAGAAATGTGTTCCAAGGAACAGCAGTACTCCTATGTGACACTGTCTAGACAAGAATGAAAGCCAGAGGACCATGACATAGCAGAGTCACAAGTGTCAGGGACATTGCTGCTGTTGCTTTGATTCTGGGCACAAGCTGGCTCTATCTGATGGTGAGAAAATTGCTGCCTAGGTGCTAGTCTCTGTTTTGCTTTCAGGGCTTCTTTATCAGTCCTGTAATCTGAAATTTTAGATAAAAACAGAACAACTGAGAAAATCATGGTAGCGATTGTATGTTCCTGTAGTTCCCCACTGTTAAATCTTTTTCTACTTATTTCTTTTATTAACTTTGCTTTGGTGGGTGACTGGGTTGGTTAATTTTCTGGGTGGTTGGATTTTTTGAGACTAGTTCTCACGCTGTGAAGCAAAGCCAATCTTTAATTTACAATCCTACTGCCTCAGCCTCCTAAGTGCTACGATGGGCACTCAGCACCATGCTCAGCTCTACTCTCCCTTAGATGTCATCATCACTTATTTCCTCCATAACTACTTCTGGCTCCAGAGATAATGTGGGGATTGTGGAAGGAAGGCTGACAGTGAGAAACACTTTCTCTTGGTTTATCTGAGGATTATAGCAGATGCACATCGAGGTTGATAGGACCATGATATCACCATGCTCTTTTTTCCTATGGTGCCAGCCTTAACAATAATTGTAGTTATGTGAGATTGCTGGTATATGGCAAATGCCCTTTTACCATGGTAGGGCTCCTCCGTCCCAGTGCACCACCATCCAATTCAGTTATAAGACAAGCAGGGCTGGCATGGTTTCCACAGCCCACAGCTACCCTGTATGGTACAGGGTAGGCATCTGTTTTTAAAAAACTCTTTTCTGGTTGAACTGTGTAGGCTCACAGTGATAACCATGGTTCACATCTGATAAGGAGATTAACCCATTATTTGGAGGAATCTTGTAAGATTTCTTTATTATCCAAGTCATATGGAAACAGCTGAACATGTTACATCGTCTTTGTGGCCAGCCCCGCCCCGCCCCCTGCCCTCCTCTTGCCCCCCCCCCCCCCCAGTTCCCCAGCTCCCCTTCTGTGCTCAGCAATGCTGTATGTTTTTGTAGTAGAGCACACATTACTTTTCTTGGTTGTAAATATTTGTAGGGCTCTCTTGCTTCAAAAAAGAAGAGTAGTTAATTCCTATCAATTAGTAGGAAATGTGTTATCCTTGGTTTGGGTTCTATCTCGAAACTCTTAAACAGTGAGATTGGCTGCCTGCATTTTCCAGGGCAGTCTGCTGACGTTGGAGAGAGGCTGAGGGTATAGCCAGCAATGATCCTGATGATAGGCTTAAGAATCTTAGAACCTAATGAGTCTGTAAATAGATACAAAGTAAAAACAACAGTGATTTTTTTTTTTTTAATTTACGGTTGGTTAAGATGAGTCTTTCTCTTAAATTGATAATTGATGCCATCTAGTTAGCAGTTGGGTAATCCAAAGGCTAGAGGGGCATCTGTTGGTGGTGCTTTCTTAATTCTGGCGTATCAACTTCTTCACAAACATTCTCAAATGGTAGGTGAAGGCTTCTCAGGTGACACTGACACAATTTCAGGGATATATTTCATTAGGGTGGGGAAGGCACGATGCCAGGAGGAGGCTGACTTTATGTTCACAGTCAGGAAGCAGAGAGCAGGAATAGATGCCCTTCTAAACCAGGCTTCAGTGGCAAAAGGCCATGAACAGTTTGTTGCATATTTCATCCATCTGGACATTTGTAACAAAAGTAAAATTAAGCAAAATCTTTATAGAGGTATAAATGTAAAAATAAGGTATTTTCAGTTCTTTCAGTGAAAATTGGGTCAATTATTTTCTAGATTAAGTAGAAAGATCATTGTCACCTTGGTTTGCTTTTCCCATAGGAGACATCCTCCACTTGAGCAGGAAATTTTATTATTTACAAAGCCTATATTCAGGGGCTGAAGCAATGGCTCAGTGGTTAAGAACACTTGTTCTTGAAGACAACTCGAGCTTGGTTCCCAGCACTGACTTGGTGGCTCCAGTTCCAGAGGTCTTGATGCCCTCTTTTGACCTCCACTGGCGCCAGTTATACATGTAGTGTACGTACACACACACACAGACACATACAGGCAAAGTCATACATGTGTTATGTACATACAGATAGACAGAGGCAAAGCACTCTGATACACAAAATTAATTAAAATTTAACCTGGATTAAAGTATTAATTAGATAATGAAGTTTGTTAGTGGTAACATAAATTAGATCTGTGTGGGGACACTCTGCCATCAAATATGATTACTTTGAGTTCAACTGTGTTTTTTTTAAATATCCCTTCCCCTCCCTTCCCTTCCCCTCCCCTTCCCCTTCCCTTCCCTTTCCTGGTTCACAAGTTTATTGCTGGAATATTTTCTGCCTCTAGGTGGAAAATTCAGTGGCTTTTAAATCAATGTGTCATGTGTCTATAATGGCTTTGGGTGTAATTTGACCACTCAAATTTGTATGTAGAAGGTTTTTCCTGGGTGAGATATAGTCACTCTGTATTTTCATGTGTTCAGCACGTTCTTCAGAGTAGCTCGTTAAGATAGCTGTCATTTCTGTTTTGCAGATAGTCTACTGAGAAGTCTTCCGGTAAATGGCTTACTGTCTCACCTGACGCTCCATAACAGATGAGAGACTGAAAATTTTTTCAATCATGAAATAAATTATTACTGTTGTTACTACAGGCAAAGGGTGTTGTGAATACGGCAGTATCTGCAGCAGTTCAGGCAGTTCGGGGCAGAGGAAGAGGAACTCTGACAAGGGGAGCATTCGTGGGGGCTACAGCAGCTCCTGGCTATATAGCTCCAGGTTAGTGCCACTTGCTAAAGATCCAATGACTTTCTGATTCCAGGACTGAAGAACAGCATTTCCAAAGTTCTATGTGGTCTCTGGAAATACCACACATATATAAGAGGAATAAGCACGAACACACACACACATACACACTTGTTTGTATGTATGTATGTATGTATGTATGCATGTATGTGTATATGTACATAGCTTCAAAAGGGATCTGCTGAGTAACTAAATCCTTTCTGTAGGGAGAAGAAAGATAAGTATGGCTGACTTTGGATGAAGGAACATACTTTGATGGGGGTGGGAATCGGGTGGTGCAGGATGGAATCTAAAAGTTGTTCTACAAATTTTGATGCTTGGACAGCAGAGCAGGATGTATCCTGTGGGGGATACAGTCATGTTTGGTTTACCTAAATTGCTATGGAGCTTCTTAATAGAGTGAATCCTGGTTAAATTAATATTTATGTATTTCAATATTTGAGAACAGTCAAAGAAATACAACACAAACGGAAACATGGGGGAGAGAGTGTGTGAGAGGCAGAGTGTGTGCATGTGTATGTGTGTTGGGGGGTGATTTGTGGGATGGATAAACCTTGGTTTTACAGAGCTCATTTATACTAGGTATTCCATATAAGTTATTTCACTTCTTAGTCCTCAGCGTTTCCTCAGGTGGAAGGTAGTTTCCAGGTAGGTCAACCAGGTCTGGGTGAAACAAGCAGCATAGGTAGGTCTTTGATGCTGGTGCTAGCATTCCCGAAGCTATTGGTCTTTTCATTTTAACACATGCTTGAGTGAGATCCAGAAAGCTGCCCACTATCAGCCTTCTGTTCAAATCCATATGTTGTTTTAAACATGAATGTCCAGTTGGCTTGTTAAAGTGACATTCTTTGCAATGGTGAAGCAGTGAAAATTTTCACTTGACAAGCCATTTGTATTTGTTGACCAAGATGAAATTTGTATGAACTTTAGGTCTCATTTTTTTTGTTTGTTTGTTTGTTTTAAAATTAGGGACTGTCCCTAAGAATTCCCTTAGAATTGTTTCACTGTGCATTTTTTGCCGTTTGGGAAGTTTTATGAATGATGTGCTTTGGAATTATAAGTTCACTCTGGTTGTATTCCCAGAGGATATGTCTTATAGAGTTCTCTTGCTTTGAAACATACCTTAGATTTTATCCTTGTTGAGCTTACAGTCTGAAAGGAAAGTTAACAAAAGTAATCAAATAACAAAACTTAAAACTGAATCTGGGAGGAGACAGGCATCGTGTGATGAGAATGTAACAGAGTACCTCGATCTAGTCTAGTGATTCCATGAAGGCTTCCCTGAGGAACTGACACTGGAATGGAGTTAGTAGGGGTTAATTGAGAAGGCTGGGATGGAAAAGCAAATTGCATGTGCAGTGACTCACTACTGTTGTTGCAGGCTTTCTGAATAGAGAAAGGAGGCTCTTTTGCAGGCAGAAGTTTATTGTGTGCTTGCATGGTTTCTGGAAATTTTCCTAAAAGGCAAAGAGCCGTTAATATCTCAAAAAAAGTGTTTTGTACAGTTTTGGCTTCTTTATCACCCATATGAGGTGATTTATATTCTGAATAGGTACTTTAAACTAAATTAGTGAGGCTAAAAGTGCTGGAATGAGGATGAAGGAAGGGTGGTTGCAGAAGAGATGTGTTAGAGTTGCATGTTTCTTCTTCTTGGCTCTTGGAGGGCCCCTGCCACAGTACTAATGAGGAGAACTTGACCCATTCGATGAAACAGAAACACTGAATAATTTGGAGGGTAGGAAACCTGGCAGGTGTAATGTACAAGTCTTTCTCTGTCCCGCCAGCTCCCAAGTAATGACATGAAAGCTTTTTATTAGTTAGGAAAGCTCAGCCTATAACTTAGGCTTGTTCCTAACTAGCTCTTATAATTTAAATCAACCCATTTATACTAATCTGTGCTTTGCCTCATGGCTCATGGCAGATACTTCCTGTACATCCTGCTTGCTCTGCATCTCCCCTTGTTTCTTTATAGAGTTCTTTCTCTGCCTGGAAGTCCCACCTATACTTACTGCCTAGCTATTAGCCATTCAGCTTTTTATTACACCAATCACAGCAATACATTTTTGTACTGTGTAAAAATATCCCACAACTTTGGGAAGAGCTTGGGGTGGGGATGGGGTGTGAGCTAAAGTTGATGAGTTATCCAGTCCTGGAGTCCATGGCTTGGATTTTGTTTTAGGATCTTAAGTACAGTAGGAAATCATCAAGGGTTCTAAGGAGAGATTGGCAAAATTGTATGTTATTTGGAAATACTACTCCTTCTATAGGGTAAAGAATATATGCAAGGACAGACATGGACATAATGGCACACCTTAAAAGACTGGTGTACATGTGTTACCTGTACAGTAGACTGTGGAAACTGGTAAATGGTGCAAGGATAGACAGATAACAAGATGAGAACAGATTACTGGAAGCAACATTGTTCATAGGTGGAATATTTAGACTGAAGAGTGACGTTTCAAGAGCACTACCAAAGTTTTTTAAATCCCCCTTTTAAAATTAGACTTCTAAAAAAATACCAATCCAAGTTTCCACTCCCTCCTCCCTCTACTCCAAACACCCTCCCACCCCACTCCCATCTAACCCCCAGAGAGGGCAAGGCACACTGCCCTGCAGAAGGTCCAAGGCCCTCGCCACTACATCCAGGCCTAGCAACTCGTACATCCAAAGAGAACTGGATCCCAAAAAGCCAGTACATGCAGCAGGGACAAATCCCGGCCCCACTGCCAGTGGCCCTCCAGTCTGCCCCTCCACGCAACTGTCAACCATACACAGAGGAACCAGCTTAGTCCCATGCCCATTCCTTCCCAGTTCGTCTGGAGTTGGTGAGCTCCCATCAGCTCAGGCAAGCTATGAACCCATCATGGTCCCGACCTCCCCACCCACATTCTCATTCCTTCCACTCCTTAGCTGGACCCTGGAAGCTCAGTCCAGTGCTCCCATGTGGGCCTCGGCTGCTGGACGAAGGCTCTATGGTGATATTTAAGATAATTATCAGTCTGACTATAGGACAAGTCAAGATCGGGCCCCATCTCTTCTATTGCCCAGGGTTTTAGGTGGGGTCATCCTTGTGTATTCCTGGGAATTTCTCTAGGTTTCTGCTAACCCTACAATGACTCCCTCAGTTAAGATATCTCTCTCCTTGCTCTCTGTCCTTCCTCCATCTCTACCATCCCATTCACTCAAGTTCTCCTCTGCTTTCCCCTCCCCCTCTCCACTCCTCTTCTCCTTCTACTTCCCTTCTCTCCCCACCCCCATGCTCCCAACCCTGCCAGTCAGTCCTGTCCCTTTCTAATATCCAGGTGGATCTATATATTTTTCTTTGGGTTCACCTTATTACTTAGCTTCTCTAGGATCATGAACTAACAAAGGCTCAGTGTCCTTTGTTTATAGCTAGTAGCTACTATTTTTTCTTTTAAGTGAGTAATGCCAAAGTTTTAGCTTGATGAACTAGGAGGGTCATTTCATGGGATGAAGAAGTGTGACAGAAAATGGACCTGTAATTTTCAGCCTGTGTTCAACATTAAGATACCTTTCTATTGAGCTGGGCAGTGATGGTACACACCTTTAATTCCTGCACTTAGGAGGCAGATGCAGGTGAGGCCAACCTGGTCTACAAGAGTTAGTTCTAGGACAGGGACCAAAGCTACACAGAGAAACCCTGTCTCAGGGAAAAAAAAAATTTCTTTCTTATGCCTTACATTCTTTATTGAAAATTAATAGCTTTGACCTTTTTCAGTACTGGGTATTTATTGAGATGAGTTTGTTTTTTGATGACATGTTCCTTTGGGACTCAGTTTGGTAACTTCTCTTGTTGCAAGATCTTATGTCATTTGATTCTTAACCAAGGGGTATGCAGCTGCATTTATCCTGTGATGTTGAGCAGGATTGTATGTGTTTTTTGGTTGCCAGATCGTCTGTCTTAAGTCATTGCTTTGACCTCTGTACAAGTCTTGTTTCCAGAAAAAAAAAACAAACCAATAAAGAATTAAGGTTCATATGGATCTTGATGAGTTCTGTCATTGGTGGAGTGTCTTATATCCAGGGATGGCATAGGTGAATGTTCTTACATGTATTTTAACTTCCCTGCCCATGGAGCTGTTGTTTGTAGCACGGATGCTCAGAGTCTTTATGGAACTCAGCCTCTTTGCTTAGTTAAAGGTCAGGGTTAAAATCCTAGTGGCCCAATCACTGGCCAACTTAACTAGTTACCAGTTTCAACTCTTTCAGTAAAACTTTTGATATTGTAGGTTAAAGAACTAGCTCTTATTCCTTGGAATACATTTATGAAATGGGTTGGACATTGGAGGAGACATTAGTCCTGGGGATTTGTTACTTGATGCCAGTTTCAAGGATTTTGAGCAGCACAAGTAGTTCTAGAACAGTTGTGATATGATTTGGTATGAAAAATTTAAATTTGAATAGGTTTTATATAGCATTCATGTCATGTTGTATCTTCAGACAGGGTCTCACTATAGCCCTGGCTGGCCTGGAACTTGCTAAGTTGTAGAGCTTGAATGTACAGAGGTACACCTGTCTCTGCCTCTCAACTCTGAAATTAAAGGTATGGGCCATCATGTCCAGCCTGGTTTGTTTCTGTGTATTACTTAGAGGCAGGATCTTGATTCATAGTTTAGGATGGCCTGGAACCTTACTTTATAAAGCCTACGTCTACCTCAGCATCTGTGGTACTGGAATTACTAGTGTGCATGACCATGATGGGCCTTCATCGTAGTTAGAGACCAGTTAAAATGTGATCCCTGGGACTTGGCCAAACCATTTCATATTTATATGCTTTTTTCTGAAAGATGAGAAATTGTAGTTTTTATGAACATGGTGTATCTAAACCTTACAGAAACACTATAAAGAAGCTTGGATTTTTCAGTTTAAAAGATGGGAATATGGCAGATTTTGTGCTCTTTGTTTAAGGATGTGTGAGCAGTTAGTGTCTGGATTAACTCATTCAAAAACAGTTGTTTTCTTAGTAATAATTACAATCAGGTTTTCTTTTATAGGCAAGAGACACTAATATATCAAGTTACCAACTTTTCAGGGAGACTTTGAGCTGGGGTCTGGCATTCAGATACTGTTAAGTTGTGGACCTTGTCACTGGGCTCATGACCTGACCCAGACATGCTCTTTAGTGGCAATTGAGGCTGCAGCTCTGTCACTCTTTTCAGAAAGGAGCCATGGAAAGTTTCCCTGTTCCATCTTTGAGAAATTGGTGATTGAGGTGATTCTAAGTATTATTTTGGCTAACAAAAGCTGTTTGTTCTGCTAAATTTAGTTTAGAAAGCTACGATGTTACTTTAGTGGAGCATACAGACAAGTAGATACGTTACAGTACAGTGTAGAAGTACAGATGGAGCGAGTGCGAGAGAGAACACCATTGAACAGAAGAAGAGAGGAGGAGGATGTTAGGGTAAGTTAAGGAATTCTCTATAGGTCATAGTGTGAGACTTCTACACTTAAGCAGGACTAGGGAGTGACTGAACTGTAGGGCTGCTCTTGGCCTTCCAGAGTCTGGAGTATTCCAAGTAGGCCTGAACTGATTGCTCTCCTCTTGTTTGACCAGGTTATGGAACACCATATGGTTACAGCACAGCTGCTCCTGCATATGGTATGTATACCTTCTTACTGATTCTTCTTCTTAGCCTATCTCTCACAGCAACCCAGAGCATAGTTTGTAACCAGGGTTTCCAGAAACAAGTTGGAGGATCTCAGATCTAATCATTCTAGTGATTCAACTTAAATTCCCTCAAATGCCACAACCTTGTGGTTCTTGGTTTGGTTGAAGTTGCTCTTCTCTCTGCTTTGCCTGATTGGAGAACTGCTTGTTCTTATTGCCTGTTTCTGACCATATTGAAATTAAATATTTGAAGTAATTCTTCTTACAGCAAACCTATACTCCATTCAAAGGCTACTGAAGGGCCACACCCAGTTTTTAGCATGGCCACCTACCAGTTACATGGCCACATTGTTAGTTTCTGTATGTGTATTTTATGAATGTGGGTGGTTTGAGTCAAGAAAAGAAAGCCATCACTTTAAATTTGTACCCATTAGTCTTTGCTTTACATTTTCCTTTGGGAATGGATAGATGTCATTGGTCCCACAGAGGTGATGGGGTTTATTGTCAATGTTACCTTTCTTCAGAAGTCAGTAGCTGTTGGTAGAAATCCTAGGTTTGCCGCTTCTTTCCTTTCCAAAATAAAAAAGTAGCAGCAGATATGTGAATGAACATTAATGGCCCTTTGGATAACTTTTGAATGAGGTTTATGTGGCAATGGAGGCAGTAGGTTTGGAGTCAGTGATATGCTGTTAGACATCTTTTGTAACTCAGATGTTGAATGTTACAGAATCAGCCACCATCTACAGGATGCTTGACAAAGAGAGCAAAAGAGAGTGTGTGTGTACACGTGCGTGCGTGCGTGCGTGCGTGCGTGTGTGTGTGTGTGTGTCCACACAGCCCCAAACCAGGCATGCATGCACATGGAAGGCAAAGGTCCTCTATGCATCGCTATTTGTGGCATGAATCCTCTACATGAGCTCAGACCTTCACCTTGTGCCCTTTCTCTTCACACATCAACTTTACCGTTTTTATTTTGATGACAATTACAGGTTCTTAGACATTGCTTTTCTGAAGTGTTGAGTTTGAATAGTTTGGCAAGGGTCAAATACATGTAGAAGGTTTTGTTTGGACAAAGTACAGACTTAGGTACTATGCCTAGTTGTTTCCTCTGGCACACTCATGTGGATCAGTCTTCCCCATATTCTGAACTAGAGTAATCCTAAATATGGTGGTTGGGGACTAGTCCAAGAATATGTTTTTACCTACAGTTCTTTCTGAATTCAGACTGCTGGAATCTTTTCAGTTTGGCCATCGGCATTTGCCCGTTTCTCTAGTTTTTGAATGTCCAGAATACCTCATCCTTCTAGAATGGGGTCAGTTGTTAACCTAGACACAGCCCAATTGACTTATTTGCTCTGCTATGCGTTTTGTGAGCACCAGAGCTTCTACTCTCAGCTGTGTGTCAATCACATAATCATAAGAATTTATTAAGGTAAAGTGTTGCTAGAGACTCTTTCTTTTAAAAATTTGGTTTTTAGCCTCTTCAGTTACATCCATGTTTTTCCTCAGTCTTTTTAATTTTTCCTGGTCTGTCCTTAACATTCTTTCACCCTGTGACCTCTGAGCCTCAGTAGGCTCCTCTCTTTCATGTGCCATATAACTGACTTCCAAAGCTGGTGTAATTTGATGCCCCATTTTTCACATAAAGGATTTGATTTTTAAATGTTACTGTGATGCAAATCTACTAAAACAATGCTTTATTTTGGCTGTAAGGTAAATATTGTCTTTTGGCCTTGGTAAAGCTGTTGCATGTGGAGTTATCTCCCTCTGATCATCTGGTGCTCTTGAATTCCTGCTGTTGCTGCTTTGTGATTTCTCCTAGGTTAAACATCAGCATAAAGACGGGCAGATTTCAAATCCTTCTTTAGTGTGCAGGAGTTTGTGAGGCCACAAGAACGTATTAATTAGAAATTAAGAAAACAATATTAATCTTTCCAGATTTGCCATGTCAGCATTAGTGGTCATCCATGAGAAGACAAACACCTGGTTGGTGGCTCTGGTTGGAGCTTTCTTTCTTTCCTGGGAGTTGATGCCTGCACAGAAAGTCTTAAATCTTGACATATTTCTCCTTAATATGTCATGTACCATCTTCTTTACAATTCATGCCTACTCACTCAGATGTCATTTCTGAGTATCATTCTGTGATATAGGCATTTTACTTTTGAGCAGAAAACATGATGTATCAAAATAGAAGAGCAATTGATTTGTGAGGTATTTGTGGGCCTCTTCCAAAATGGTATATATAAAATAGACTGACTAATCTGGAAATGGTTAATGATAATTATTGTAAGAATTTTTTTAACCTGAAATTTTTATTAGAGTCCTTTCCGTTTCTTTTCTCTGTAGGTTTGCCCAAGAGAATGGTTCTGTTACCCGTTATGAAATTCCCAACATATCCTGTTCCCCACTACTCATTCTTTTAGCAAATGACAGAAGCTCATTCCTATTGAACAACAGTACAGTACAATGCAGAATATTAGAGAAAAAGCCTTTTTATCCTGCTTTCTTTGAACACATACTTGATCAAATTATTTGTAAAGAACATCTTTCCTACTTTTTGATTTTAACAAATGCAAATTTAGTTCTCTAAAACTTGAAAACAAACAAAAAGAAACCAGTTCTGTGAAACGGTACCTCATTCCTGGAAATAATTTATACCAGCCCCTTCGTTGTAGGGAAGTCTAGCAGCTCAAAGTTGACGTTCTCAGAGTATCAGATTATGTAAAGTTAAATTTGTGAAGGATGTATAGAGTCTCAACACTGATCACAAATAAACTGCTTTGTTGTAACACAAGAGTACTGCCTGGTTCCTGATGCAGCCACTGATTCATAGCTGACTAATGTGCTTGCCCCAGGGCACTTTAATTTGGGCTGTAGTTAATTTTTTTTTTCAAATACAGTAGAAACTTTTCATTTAAAACTTAACTTTGTAAATAATGAAGTGTGTAATTAAAACCAATAAAATATGGGTTTGAATATTGTTTTAGCTTATTATTTTTGATATGTTTTGGTATAAAATTTCAAGGAATTGCAAACTAATAATAACCCTAGAAACCCATTCATTATTTGTAAGCAAGCTGCTAAAACACAGCCAAGATGATTGTTAGTCCGACTCAGTCTGCTCTACTCTGTAAGCTCTTGTATCCAGTGGACAGAGCATCCCCATGATAAGGTTACATTCTGTTATCTCAGCACTGCTTTATTCAAATGATGGCACCACTCAAAGATGGGAAAGGAGGATTGTGAATATCTTAGTTTACGAATTTCCAAGTTAAAAGAATAAATTAATCAATCACCCTCTTTTGTTCTTGTGGCCTTCTTCACTCTGTAAGACTCTTCACTCCTTGGCTTTTTCATGAAGATAGACGATTAGCAGTTTTTCTGGGATTCCTTGAAGGATCTCCTTTCCTCTTCAATGATATCAGAATCTAAAGCAGCAACAGGATCCCCATAAAAACTCGCTCTCTGATTGTCCCAGTTCTTGTTGAGTGCTGCTGTGAAAAGTGACAGGTTTCAGCCATGGGTCAGCATTTACTTTTAAGACACCTGGTTACACTGGTGGAAACTGAGTCAGTAACATTGTGCTGTTCTGTGAAGGGTGCAGACCCAAGTCTTCACTTGCATTCTCACCTTGTTTGGAAAGCTGATGATGTTACTAGAAGGTAATGGTTTCATTAAGGTATTCACCCCCATTCAAGTGACAGTGTCGTCCTCTGCAGACATTTACAAGCCACTGTGGCTTAAAGATGACTCAGTAGGAAATAACTACTTTTCTGCTAAATTCCTTTTCAAAACCAAGAGGTGCCTATTACTTTAAGTGGTCTTTACTAACTTTGGAAGCAAGGGCGAGATGATCAGGAAGGCACAAGTGTGGCACCACTGCTCAGACGTGTACTGCACAATCATCTGTTCCTTCCTTGACCCTTTGTTTCTGCTAGTGGTGGGTGATACTTTAATAAAACCTTGTCACTTGGCTGGAAATAGCTTTAACTTGTCATTCTCATCATGTGTGTTAGTGGCAAGATGTAATCGAGCAGGGCCCCTTTCAGCTGGAAGTTTTCATGTTCATTGATTTGTTTTGCTGACCTATGGATGAAACAGAGCCATCACTGAGAAGAAGAAGCATGGCTGCTAATGTCCAGTTCTTATTAATTAAATATTTACAGTGGTCCTCTGTTTTTTGAAACACTATTAATTGGCAGTTGCAGTTGTATTATTTGAAATTGATCATCAAATTTGGACTCTAGGCTGGAATCTCCCTGGAGATTTCTCTTAAGAAAATATTTTTGCAGTCTCTGACTCTGCTTCATAACTCACCCCCCTCTCTGATGGAAGAGGGAGCTGTGCTGTTCTCCAACATGATGGCCGTCATTTCAAATGGTTTCTACCAAGTCTTCCCCCTTCTTAATTTGTTGTTTGTTGGAAGTTACTAACCATGTTGTAAACCTGCCGAGTTGCTGCAAACTTTTACATTTCTCTGCTTTACTTAAAACAATGGAGCTGTCAACCTTATGTTAGAAGTGGTAACCATGCAAGTTCAACTGTTTAAATCTGTAATGAATTAAGTGTCCTCCCACCTTTTGCTCTTCCCACCCTTCATTTTGTAATGAAAATTCCACTTACAGCTGAAAGAGCAGAGAAATATAAATGAAGCTCATAGCTTCATCCAGTTGTGTGAGATTAACATACAGCTCTGCTTCTCTGCTCTTTTCTCCACTGTAGGTGGTTTTTTCATTGACAGCCCCTATTGCCAGCCTCTGAGCGTCGCACCATTTATTATTCACTTGGGCCCTCAAGATTTCTTCTCTGACTTCTAGAACCATCAGGTTGTCTGGCTTCAATGGCAGTTTCTTTCTTCTTAAGAGCATTGTGAGCCCTGAGGCTTCCCAGCTTTCAGACCCACCACTCTAACCCTTTTTGAAAACAATGACTGGGAATTTTAAAGAAGAGCAATATTTTGTCCAAAGCCACGATAACTGTTTTAAAGCTCCTTTTGGAAACATAGCAATATTTAGATGTAAACTTTTCAGTGTAGCTCTTGTCAGGGAATTTACAGATTAATGTAGAACTTAGAATCTCTGTGTGACCTTTGCGATCCTCTGACACTTTTTAGTCATTTTTAGCACATAACTCAAGCACTTACAGTTTTGACTGTCCAGCTAGCAGTATTAAAATTTATTTGAGACAGATGTCCTCCCTAAGCCATATCTTTTGGTGGGGGCCAGCGCTTCACCAGAGGTGTGGCTGGCAACCTGTGTCCCTTAAGGCTTCAGGAGTGCCCCACCTCTTAATACCCATAGAGGTTCCATAGATATATGATATACCTCATGCTGATGAGGTTTGGTGCATAGTATGGTGAAGTAAGGGGATGGGTTTAAGTAAGTCCTGATTTTTTTTTTTTGTAATATCTGAAATTGTTAACCTTGGGAATAGAATACTGGTCATGCTTGGATTAGCCTTTTTTGTTTTTTTAAATTGGGTGAATGTTTGAAAATCATGAATCAGTCACCATAATTAATTGAAGAGCTGGGAATACCTCGTTGATGTATTTTTAAAACTGGTGTTGGACCCTCTGTGTATTTCAGGTTAATACTTTTAAGCAGTTTTCAGCACGTTTATCTCACTTTATTCTCGTTCTCCTCGGACCTCCGTAGCCATATCACTTGTATAAGATAGGCTGAGCTATAGTGACTGTAAGCTGTGATCTCAGTACACAAAGGTAAGCTCTTTTATTTTCTGATTAAAGAAAAAATAACCAATTAACACAACCTGCATATATGACAATCATATGATGTATTTGATCTCTTAGGTCTTATGTCACTGCATTAACTTTAACTTTTTATGGCCTAAATGTAAAATAGTAATTTTCAGCATTTGTTTTAATACTCTTGTAAATGCTTTTTATTCAGGAGAAACATTTCACATTCACCGAGTCAAGTGTATGTGAGTAGAAACTTAGAATATAATGTATATGTAAATTATACATAGAAGCACTTGTTTGAATATAATAATTCAGTGGTAGGAACACTTAACAAAGAATTAAAATGACAGGGCACTCTCTAGGAGCTGGAATATCAGAAACAGTAACATTGGTAACAGTACCATAGGATTTATGTGTGCAATTGCTACACAGGCTGAGGGTATAAGTGCCAATCTCAAGAAGAAAACCTTCTCTGACCTGTGTTGTATGCTCCATTACAGCAACAGCAAGAAGCCATTAAAAAAAAAAAGCAATAAAAAAAGACAAAACTATTATTCACTGTGGGAAATATGTGTAATTGGCTGTGTTAAGTTATTTACAGAATCAACTTGAGCAAGACTCAGAAATAGTAATACAGAGTCCACAGAAAACAAATTGACTTAAGGAATCTATGTTTTCCAAGTAGGGTACCTAGAGTATTATTTCTCACTGTAGTCAGTCATCAACAAAGTTCATTTAAAGAATATGAGGGTTAGGCCAGATACTTTAATAAGGATTTGCTTCATTTAGTATACCCCATAAATACACTTCATTATTCTGTGTTAAAGCTGTATTTATATAGATAGATATATAAAAATAAATTTTATGTTTTACATTTCTATAGCAGTTTCTGTTCATTTCTAGCATTAAGGTTGCTGGGAAAACTTTGTTCCCATATAGAACCTGTAGTTTCTGAGATTGACTTCTGTTAAAGGCTGTACAAGGCAGAGCAGAGCAGTGTAGTCCTGTGCCTGTTGATGCCAGGTCCTTTTTGGGACCAGGGTAAGAGGTCCTGGTCAGTGGGAGCATCTGAAATCTGAACATTTCCTTGCTGGTGGAATTGGCCTGGTTTTAAATAAATACCCAACTTTGGGAGAACAGTGAAAAAAGTTATTAATTTATTTACTAGTTTAATTATAAAATACTGAACATTGTAGGCTTTCTAACACCAGAAAATTTATGTTACTTGAGGATCTCCTCATGTAGCATACTTCCCTGGCACTTTCGAGGGCCTGAAATCTGCTCTTGTTATGCTGCTCTGCTCTGTCCACATGTGTGGTCAAAAAGTGGGATGGGCGCCCAGCACACATTGCAGCCCTGCTTGGCAGCAGGCTCTGTAATCTGCAAAGGATACAGTGGGAAATGTAAACACTGACTACCATTATAATAAATCACTTGCTGTAACATTCCTGATTCTTATTTATTTATTTATTTACTTACTTACTTACTAATGATTAGAGTGCAGGAGAATAGTCAGTACTAACAGAAATGAGCTAGAGATGTTTTCTCCCCAAGCTGTCGGAGCTTGTAAACCAGGGGTATTGTGAGCAGAGTGACATCTGAAAAGCGGCCTCTCTGTCCATTCTTTTAATGCCAGTGTCACCTCAACTCAACCAGAACCAGAAGGTACCATGGCATTCAGGTTTGATCTCTGCAACATCTGATGCCATGCAGCCAGTGACTATGGGTTCCTTAGTGTTTCTAGGAGGCTTGGGAGGGAGATGGGTGGGGTGTCAGTGACAACTGCAGTTAAAGTGAGTTTCAGCATGGGTGTGTGTGTCTCTGTGGCACTTACCAGCCCACAGTGCAGCCTGTTTAAGCCTCAGTTCCTTCTCCTAATGGTGTCTTATAGAAAGACTGTTAAGCAAAGAATTTGTGTTGGGTTAGTTGCACGAATAGATACCTTTTCCCACGTCACCATCATTTCAGTTAGGAACTAACAGCTTCCATTAATGTTTGAAGCAATGATCTTTGGAAGTTTTTAAAAATAGAACTATAATGTGGATTGGATTATATAAGCTTTACAGTACAGATAGAGATAGGGATAGAAACCATGTGGGAATCTAGGCCAAAGCATTTCTCTCATTCCAGCCCATTCCTATGGAGTTTGGGAATCTGATGAGTTCATATATTCAAAGCTTTTAATGGTACCTGGTGTTGGTGCGGGTGACCCTGGCAGGTCCCACTGTGAGCGGAAGAGGCTGTGGTGGGTGGTAGACAGACAGATAACACCATGCAGAGTGTGCTTGGGTATAGAGTTTACTTAGTAGGTATTGGGACGGTATGAAGTGTAAGGGTTATGGAGAGAGGAGAAGAGAAAAGGGAGAGTCAGAAAAAGAGGAAAGAGAAAAGAGGGAGGAGGAGAAGGCAGAGGCTGCCTCTTCAGAAGAACAGGGAAAGGAAGAGAGGATGCAGGCTATCAGCTTGCCTCCCTGGGAAGGGGAGATGGAGCTTGTTCCTTAAAGGGACAGGTACCCAGCTGACAGGGCAGGCCATCATAAATATAACACCTGGTACACAAGAAGTACTGTTCTGGTTGAGGCAGAAGAATGGATGTAAGGCTATGCTGGTTAAGTAGCAGGTGCATGAACTGCTTAGGGGTGAGCTGGGCTTTTACTCCTTTGTGCTCATAGGTTTGGGGTGCCCTCAGACTGAGGCCAGACGTGGCAGTACAGATTTGCTCATATTTCTGCTGCACCAGCCAACTTGCAGCTCAGGGTTTTATGGGTGCTTGGGGTTTCTCAAGAACTGAACTTAGACCATTTATCTGCTGATTCAAGTTTTCTACCATACTTCAGTTTTTAACCCTACAATGGCCAGAATCTAGTCTTGAAGGCTTGTGGTGTTTGGTTTTAGAGAACAAGTTATTATAAACTATGGAAAGAAAAAGAGGACCCAGGAAGCACCTAGGATGCTGTTGATTCAGATTCTTTTGTGAGGAGTCCCTGTCCCCTGTCCCTTGTCTCATGGTACATAAGTGGGAAGCATCTGCATGTACCACCACATGAAGCTTCCCTCCCTTCTGTCTGAGGCTCTTAGGGCATTAGTATTTTTTATCTTTATCTGGTTGTCTACCTATTTGGACACAATTGGGAAATTTCTGTTGAATTTAAGGAAAATGTAGTGATGGTGAAGTTGCTGCTTCTGAACTGAATAAAGATTCACTATCATGTAACTGCTGGCTCGCACATGCTTGCAAAGACCTAAGGAGCCTCAGAAGAAGGGTGGACAGGTTGTGTCCCAGGTAGTTAGTAGGAGGTAAGTTAAGTGGAAACACAAATTGAATTCTGAGGTGGTGCTGAATTTCAGGGGAAAAAAAAACCCAACCAAACAAACAAACAAAAAACCCCAGTGTGGACAAGGATTATGTTTAAGGAAGCCAGTAAATTCGACTTTGTATTACTTGGTAAAAGTTACTGTGTTCCTACTTAGCTAAGACTATGGTTAGGTTCTTGGCCACATTTGGCCAGCATTGAAGAAAGGCTCTTCACACCCACCACCACCACCACCACCACCACCACCACCACCACCACCACCACCAAACAAACAAACAAATTGAAAACAGAATGACAACAAAAAACAACCTTGACCAGTTATTAGAGGACGATCATGGTCTTTTTACCTAGAACTTTACCATTTGTGCTAGTGGCTGTGTTACCTCGCAAGCGGATGGTATAAAGATTGCTGTCATTGCAATGCCCAGGTAGGTGGGACTTAACAACTTCCTCATTGGAGAGGAATGATCCACAGTTGTCTTTCTCTGTTGCTGTATGACCAGCACTAGCAGCAGCACATGAGATCAACACAGTTGCAGTTAGGACATTGCTGTCCCTCTTTGTTAGAACTTCTCCTTTCTTGTTCCCTTCATACAACCAACCGTCCCAAGTAATTCAGTTAATGGCAGGTCTTTGCCTAGGACTTAGGCTTGCCCAACATTTTGATATAAACATGTTGTCGCCTACAGTGTTCATGTGACAACTACATAAAATTCCACAAAAAAATTGACAGAAGGAACTAATTTTGGAGGCATGAGTAGTAGATTTAAGAAGCCAGAAAGAGAATGAGGAGGGCTGGAGAGATGGCTCAGTGGTTAAGAGCACTGCCTACTTGTCTAAAGGTCCTGAGTTCAATTCCCAGCAACCACATGGTGGCTTACAACCACCTGTAATAAGATCTAGTGCCCTCTTCTGGCCTGCAGGCATGCGTGTAGGCAGACTATGGTGTACACCATAAATAAATTTTAAAAAAAAAAAGAAAGAATGAGGAAGAAATATTGTTGGGTGTATGTGGCACTGGGGCATTATTAATTCTCAGGCAGCCTTCTTGCAGGTGCTATTATTTCTGACCTAGACATGAATCTGATATTTAGGATTAGGTGCTAGGGACAGGAGTGAGTTCCATTTGGTACCAATGCTGCTTTCTGCTCAACAGGCTTCAAATTATAAGGCAAAGATGAAGACTGGCTGGATTCTAGGCCTCCTGTCTTAAGCATATTCATGAGCAGGCAGTATATCCTGAAAAACAGGAATTTCTGCGGTGTGTGTGTGTGTGTGTGTGTGTTTATTTATTTTTGTGGGCTGGGGTGACTGATGAGAAAAGGATATCTAACAAATGGAATGAAGAGAAAGAACACAGTGGGCTATGCCAACAGAGGAAGCTTGTTTTGTTTTTTTGTTTATTTGGATGAAATATCAAGAGGCTGAGGTACCTGTTTTCATTAGCTCTTGTTTCTGGAACATATTTCTTTGCCTGAGAAAGGTGATGGAGTTGGATGAGGTTTTGGCTCACTGGGTAGAAGGAAGAGGTTTGGTGTAGAAGGTAGATGTGCTTAGGTATAGGAGGGACAGTGATATATCAAAAGACCTATGCTGAGTGCTAGGCACTTGCCAGTATAGAATGTGAGTCTTCCCTCCACCTTAGGCCAGGGTTCAGTGAACCTGGCTTGAGAACTATGGGGTCTCTGTCTGTATATCCTCCCAAATTCATTGCCATTTGCTTAGCAGCAGTGAGATGAGATGTGGAGAGGGAATATAGAATTCTGTCTTCTTCTTTGTTCTTGTCATCTTTGACATCTGACAAGGGAAGCATGCTCTGTTTCATTCTTGGAAAAGAATTGGCAGAATCTTAATCTAACCAAGTTGTAGAGCATCAAAGTATGTGAAGGAAGGTGAGGCCCTGGTATTGGTGGGACAGAGAGCACTGCAGAACCCTTTTACATTCTGCGGCCCATTTCTAGTGCCAAGTCCTAGAGAAGGAGTGGTGGTGCAAGGATTATTGTTCTACAAGGACCAAAAGCCCAGAGATCTATATAAACCACTCTGCTTGTCTGTGGTAAAATTACTGTAGCTTCTAATGAGTGAGTATTGAGCCACACAGAGGAAATGACATTTCTTGTACTGTTCTGAGGGTTAACAGAAACTCTCCTATGGGACTGGTTTTGAATCCTGCAACTGAAGGACCTAGAAGTTTGCTATTAGTAGGAAAAGGTTTTAGGTAAAGTGACTTTCCTCAGTTACATAGTGCTTGGCGGCAGAGCCCACGTGCTCTTGACCATGCTATGATCAACTGGCTCTGTGCACTCATTACCACCCTGCTTTCCAAAGCTCTATGACAGCAGTATCCTTTCCTCTGTCTCTGGTACATTCTACTTCCCTTTCTTCTAGACTTTGGGACAATACTGTGTGTGCCTTACAAAATAGAACAAACAAAACCAATCCATCTCTCCTGTTACCTTTCCTGCCCTAGCTGATGTTCTCCCTGGTTTCTTTGGAAATGGATTGTGAATTCAGCTCTAAGCCAGGAAGCCTGGTTTTTGCTAGCTGCACATTGAAATATTATTAATAGTCTTGTGATGTTCCCAAAATTGTGTGTAGTGAAGTGCAAACTTAGTGGATGCTGCTTGGAGAGATCCCAGGCTTTTAGAAATGTGATCCGGGAGGTGTGGGGGTGTGGAAATAAGATAAAAGGACCAGTATGTCAAAGGTAGTGAAAGGGTGGCCTTGGGCAAGCATAGATACTCTTACCAGTTATTTTAAAGGATTTTATTCACATATATGTGGTTCCAGAGAGGTAAAGATAGCTTTGAGCAGCCAGGTGGGCAGTACAATGTGAAGCTGCCACTTTAGGGCAGGTGAAGCTGATTCAAAAGAACACAGGAAGAAGTGAGCACTGTGGTATGGTGACAATGTTCAATCTATGAGCTATGGTGGTCCATGAGGAAGACTGAGTTCATGGCCAGCCTAGGCTTATGTAATGAGAACCTCTTGTCCAAAACAAAACAAACCAGATACTTGTTTAGATAGTATAGAAGAAATTGTGCCAGAGATGTCAATTTGAACCACTTCTGACAGGACTGGGTGACATTGCTGGGAATAGCTCTTCTTTCTGGAGCTGGATTTGGGGAAATGTTTCCTATAACCCTCTACTTTGGCTGGGGTCATTACATGACAATCTTAGGAGAGCTAAGGAAGGAAAAGAGACCACTGGCAGGTAGAAGGCAAAGGAAGGGAGGAGAAGTCAGGAGGTTTGAACAGAGTCAAAATTGTCTTCTGTAGTGGGATCACCACAGCTAACAGCTCTGTTGCACCACCTCATAATGGATACTGTTCCTAGTTTCAGTGCTGATGTCTAGCAGGCCCATTTTCAGTTTCATAGACCAAGTGACCCAGGCCTCTGATTGG